CAGGCAACATTTTTCCAGTCTTCAACTGTCCAATTTTGGTGAGCTCTTGCAAATTGTAGCTTCTTTTTCCTATTTGTGGTGGAGATGAGTGGTACCCAGTGGGGTCTTCTGCTGTTGTAGCCCATCCGCCTCAAGGTTGTGCGTGTTGTGGCTTCACAAATGCTTTGCTGCATACCTCGGTTGTAACGAGTGGTTATTTCAGTCAAAGTTGCTCTTCTATCAGCTTGAATCAGTCGGCCCATTCTCCTCTGACCTCTAGAATCAACAAGGCATTTTCGCCCACAGCACTGCCGTATACTGGATGTTTTTCCCTTTTCACACCATTCTTTGTAAACCCTAGAAATGGTTGTGCATGAAAATCCCAGTAACTCAGCAGATTGTGAAATACTCAGACCGGCCTGTCTGGCACCAACAACCATGCCACGCTCAAAATTGCTTAAATCACCTTTCTTTCCCATTCTGACATTCAGTTTGGAGTTCAGGAGATTGTCTTGACCAGGACCACACCCCTAAATGCATTGAAGCAACCGCCATGTGATTGGTTGATTAGATAATTGCATTAATGAGAAATTGAACAGGTGTTCCTAATAATCCATTAGGTGAGTGTATATATATATATATACATATATATGAATGACATAAACCAACTGCAATCCCCCTATGACATTTGGATTTGAAGATATCACTCTTTGGGTTTGGGTTGCTGGGGTGCTCGACCATGGTTTCTAGGGCATGGCTAGGAAGTGTTGAAGGTGATTTGTGATTGGCTGTTTACTGCCCCAAGTCGAATGAGCCCATCCTCATGTTTCTATGACACTTCTATCCAAAGATATCCCTTTGACCTCTTTCAGTGGAAGTCTATGAAACGAGTTGATAGGGTGCTCTAAATGGTTGCTAAGGCGTGGCTTGATGGCTTCATGGTAATCCTGATAGACCACCCCCTGTCTCTATGACACTGTGATCCAGTTATGTTTAATACAAAATTCCTATGCAAGTTACATAGTAGGATAAACACGTATGCGCAATCCCTGTTTCATGGGCCGTCCCTTTGCCATAGTATGCATATGGAGCAACTTTGGGCAGCTCCTGCCCCCCAGGGGTACAACTTACACCACATTGTGAGGTATGTTCTTACAGAGCCTGCCAGCCTCTTCAAATGTGGAAGCACTTATGTTTCTACGAAATCCTCGCTCAGAGCTATAACTTGCCAAAATACTTTGCAATGTTAAGTCTATGGGATCTTTTGCCCAATTTTTCACCCGCTGGGTGAACATCGTACGCCCGATCGCTTATATAAGATATAGCACACCTCTCCTCAATAATCCGCACGATTTGACGCCTTGGTATATGACAAACAGGACAAATGCAGGAAACTATTGCAAAAACAAAATTACAAAAGTTACATCGTTATGAGCCTAAAATGTGTTATTTGCCTATTTTTCACCAATAAAGAGTGGTTGTACCATGTCAATAACCTTTCCATTTGAGTCCTGGTGTGAAAAGTGGGTTCATTTGTCTTTGTCTGTTGTGTGGTTCACAAATCTGCCTTTTTCGCCCCTAGCGCTGACATCACTTCAAGATGGCTTGCAATCGAACCCCATGGGACATTAGTTGACCTCGGCAACATCAAAGATTCTTAGCTAGACACCATTATGGTGCCAAAAAAACAAGTTTACAAAAAAATGCCAAACGGGTGCATGGGAACCTATTTCTCCTGCTAGACTAATACAACGACTTTCTAAATCGATAGGGGACCTAACAATGCCCCATGCTCAGGACATCTTGCAAAGAGACTCACAGAGAGCCTACAACTTGCAATTGCTATCATAGCGGAGCTCTGGGGAGCGGAGGCCTCAGTAAGATAACTCTCTGTAGCAAGAGCAGGCCTAGCAATGCTCGCAGTAGCAAGGAGGCTCACAGAGAGCCTAACCACTTAGCCTATGGCTGAACTCATAGGATGAATACACTATGTCCTACGCCTGTGAAGGAAGCCACATGACAGTGCTAGCCGCCTGACACAATAATGGGCGGAGCTCAGAGGAGCAGAGGCCTCTAACAGAACGACTCTCTATAGTGAGAGGAGGCCTAACAAGGAACAACTTAGACCCAGGCTGCTCAGGGGAGCGAACAAACAATAGTTAAAAGTACTCACACCTAGATGCACCAGAGGAGGCTCAGGAAGGAGAGCCTACAACTCAGTGCTACAGTCTAACTCTGGCTCAGACAAAACCAAGGCTTCAATATGCTGACTCTCTATGACGAGAGTAGGCCTAAATAGGTTCTATACTCAGCGCAGCTTCAAGGAGGCTCAAAGAGAGCCTATAGCCTACAACTCGGAATTGCATAAAGGGTTGTATAATTCCCTTAGAAAAGAGAAGGCCTAGCAACTCTTTATCAAAAGAGCAGCCAAGGCCAAGGAGGATCAAGTGAGCCTAGCAACTCAGCATTATTACCCCGTCAAGCTCCCATCAAGGAGCCACGTAGTGCGCCTAACAACTCGATGCAGCCCCAAGCAGAGCACTGAGGAGCAGTTTCTATAAAAGCAGTAGCCAAGGAGGCTCAAAGAGATCCTAACGACTTGACAACACTGCCCACTAAAAATGAGAAGCCTAACAATGCTCCAGACCTAAGCAATAGCTTAGGGGGCTCAGAGAGCCCAAAACAGCTCCATCGAGCCTCCTCGGGAACTCGACCGTATGCTGGTGAAGCTCAAAAGAGCGGTGGCTAGACTTCCAGTAACTCGTCATATGCGGAGCAGGCGGGCTGAGAGCGCTCAGAAGCATCGGCGATCTCATCAGCCTCGTCCTGCTCGTTTTTGGCTCTAAGCCAGGAGCGTGCTCGTTGGTGGATCATAATCCGGCAGCTCGCTCTCGTCAGCCGCAGATGAATGAGAAATATATTAATACCTTTCTCAAACTCCTCGGCGCACTCCACCTACTCGCCTCAGCCGCAGCAGGTCCTGAACTGTGAGGCACAGATGGCTGTCCCAATTCCCTAAAGAAAAGGGACAGACGAGAGTGAAGTTTCTTCAAGTGCTCACAATGCATGAAAAAAGCCCCTTCACGGACTGAGCGTGCATACTCCTCGCCCATGCAAATGTTGCACATATCGTGTGTCATCAGGTGTCAGAAAACGCTGACACGGATGCACACACTTCTTAAAGGACTTATCACTAGTGATAGCCATAATCGTCTTGTTTTAGACACACGATCAAACAAGTCAAGAAAGAGGATGACATATTTCACAGGTGCCCTTTTATACTCACAAACGCACCAGTGGTGGTGTCTTAGGCTGCCGCCTGCCAATGTCAAGTTCATTGTCTTGTTTAGACTCATGATTCAGACATGATCACATCGGAGGCATTTCCCATAGCACTCTCTAGGGGACGCACCGCGAGTTCCCTTTTCGAAAGGTAGATCTCACAGCAACACATGAGGCACTTTTCCAGTGCGTGTTACGACTCGGCTTGACTCGCTTTACTTTGGTTCGTTTTGCTTTTACACTGCAGTTTAGTACCTCTTCAAAGTGGGTGGGGTTATAGACTGATCGGTATAGTTGCGCTGCCTCTACTGCCGCTCCTCGGCTACCAACGAGAGGAACGTCTGCACCTCGTCTACTGACCACGATACAGCCATTTCTTTTTTCCAGTTGCGTGCGACAGTTGTTTAAAGCAAGTCGTTTAAAAAAGTCGTGGGAACAAATGATACTGCGGTGGCTGTGGCTGACTATTTAAGCGGGTTTGGTGTCTCGTGTCGCAAACCCAATGGCGCTGGTATAGTGACGATTTTCTCTGACCAATCAGTGATCTGCAGTGTTTACACGTCACATTTTAGTATCGGTACGGCTCGCTTGGAACCTCAACCGGGGAGGTGGTACCAAAAAAAGTACCAGATACTAGGTACTGTACACAGTGGAAAACCCCCCAAAAGTGAGCCGTACTGAGCCGTACCATGCAGTGGAAAAGCGCCAATGGATTTGTGTGTCTGATGCTTAAAACAAATCATGGGAGAACAAAGTGAACTCTATTTACAGAATACACCATGAAAGCCATAGCTACAGAATGCTTTTCAGCTAATTTTCTTTCTCTTTTTCCAATGAAAAGCCATCTAGTCTTTTTATTTGTTTTACAGAGATGTTTTACTCTGAACCAGGCGTATAGAGCATAAATGTTCTCCAAGGCTCTGAGAATTAGGCCCTGCACAAAGCTACAGAAAATAAAATAAAAATAAAAGAAAATAAGTTTGTTTAAATTAAAAACAATGTCATCAAAAAGATTTATATTTTAAAGAAAAAATACATTGTGGTGTTTCACATCAAAGCTGCAGTGCAGGCTGAGGCCTGAGTGTGAACTGCATACATGGCCTATATCAGGATGATGTTTAGACAGCAAGTCAATTGTCTTTGAGACACTATCTATATTGTGTATATAATAAACAAAATTTAACAGTAATACACCCCTCGTCAACAGAATATAGAAAAAAATAGTCAACAATAATTTGCTAATGACAGAAAAAGATAAATAAAGATAGGAGGGAAAGGAAAAGAGAATGTATTTATAGCCTGCACCTGTATCAATACAAATTAAATGCATTGCAAATGAAAGTTGTAATGATTTATAATAAACACACTTGTCTGAACAGAGCACCTTTCTTCTTGCGTTCTTATTTACTGAAGATGAAATGGTGTTGAAATACTGTTTAAATTCTTTTAAAAACAAGAATAATGGTTTGTTGTTGGTGAACTTAAATATAAAATTTGCAGAGACGATACGTTTAAAACAAAGCAAGCATTGAAAAAAAGAGTCAGAATCGTAGTGTCCTCAAATATTGTGTTTAAAAGTTATAGTTACACCTTACATGATATCAATAATGAATGTCTTCCTGCAACTTTCAGGCTGCATCAAAAGTTACAACTTGACCTGACGAGTGCGCCATTACGTCATCCCTGCCCAGCGCGCGCGCCCAAAGAGAGAGAGAGAGAGAGAGAACGTCGAAAAATAACTGTCCCACCACCAACCTCCGCCCCTGTAGTCATGCCACGATCTAGACTTCACTGTCAAGCCTCTTAAATGAGAGAAAAATCTGATTTAACCATCATCCCGGTGTTTAATGTGGAAGCGATAAACGCCGACACTTCCGCGGTCCAGAGGATCTGTTTGCTGGCGTGCCTGCGTGTGTATGTATGCATGGGAGTGAACTGGAGAAAGCGAGGAGAAGAAGAAGAGGAGGTAAGCACGCAGCGAGCTAGCGAGAATTCATGCACCTCAGACAGTCATCTATTTCTGTTAGCGACCATGAACACGTGCTTTCATGTTTTTACAAACGAGCGACTTGAACGCGCGTGTTTGTGCGATAGTGTTGTCTCGAAGTGGCAGTTCGCCGGGAGTTTGGCATGGACTGAGCGCGCGACACATCTGCAGCAGAGCTCTGGCCTCGCGCTGGATCAGGCCGAATCAAGTGTGACTCGCAGACTCGTGAAATAGCCCAGGACGAGCGTTTGTAACTGTAAATACATTTGTTTTATGCGTGAGTGATTACCTGGTGTGTGGTGTATCTTTTGCTTGGATGTAGCTAGCTGCTATTGGAGGACTAACGTTAACCAGCTTGCTGTGATGGAGCGAGTGCAACCTGGCAGGAGCCTGAGCTGACTTGATAACGTGGTGGTGCACTGCACTGTGTGCTACATTGAAACTACACTTAATAATCTCTGGGTTCGTATTTAGTAATGTATTCATAAATTGTCATAGAACTCCGTATATCATCTAAGACGAGGTCAGGGATGTGAATGAGGTCAGTAGAAGTGTTGTGATGCATGAACAGATGGAATGTGTTGACATACTGCCAGTCAAAAGTAAGACATTAATTTAACCTCGCAATTCATATAAGTGTTATGTGGCGTCCATTAATTACAGTGTAACTGACATGTCAGGAATATTGGAAAAACTTTTTCTTTTTTTTAATAAATGGAGTTTTGTATGAATCCCCCTAGTTCACACATGTGTCTGCAGATTTTCCTTTTTTCCATTTAGGGCTTGTATATGATGACATGTTAAATATTAGGTTTAGTGAAATAGCAAGCTTTCATGTAGCCCATGGGTCAATGACATGATGTGCATATTTTTGTGTCCAAGTGCATAATTTCATCTTTTAATTATTTGATAAATTCATGACCTATATCACTTCTTTCTCCAAAATGTCAGGTGGTGCAACTGTTCGAACAGATGAACAGACTAAGAAAACTATTTAAAATGGTGTCTGTTAAAAACTTAAACTAAATACTATGGCATAATTTTATGTTTGAAACCTTTCATATAAACAAATTTTATAATTTATAAACTATTTTTGAAGCTTTATTTGTCAATGACCTGCATGCTTTTTATTCATATTATTTTTCAGTATACTTGTTATAGTGACAGGCCTGAGGATAACTACTTGTGCGCATTGAAATTTCTTTTTGTTGACAACAAGTAGGCCTAGTTATTAAGCTCTGGTTTTGTTTCAGGTTCTAGATTTTACTGTCTTTACAATCTAACATATAACCATGAACTGAGTAGACACAACAGTATTTAAAATTAAGTTGCCATGAAGTTAAATTAGCTATCTATTTGGTAAATGCATGTTATTGATTTTATTGTGAATTATTTGTCCATGTGTATGTATATTTATTTATTTTAAATATGACCTCATAATTTTTAATCGAAATGTCATACCTCGATCTTCTGGTGAAAACGTCAGTCTTCATTGTGGTGGCGTAAGCCAGACTTCTCCATTCATTTAGTACGTTTTACAGCCTTATCTCAAAATCCAATCACAGATGAATAAGTCATCTGTGATTGGTGACTTACTTTCTCTCTCTCGATAATCCGTAACACTCGGACGGTTGTCACAATAAAGAAGAAAAGATCTGTCGACTCGCAACTACTTTTTCATCGCAGTTTTAACATGATAGTAAAAGGTCATTTAATAGCACAAAACAAATTGTGGTCGGCACAAAGCATGTTTATTCTGCAAGTGAACCAATTTAACTTGTTTAAATATTTTCTTTTAACTTTTTTATACCTGTAGATTTGTTCATTGTTGTTGAAGATAAGTCAACCTGTCCATGTTGGTATCCGCCTAATTTGACTAGCTTCAACCAACTGACAGATGCATTTGTGCCTAAATACTGTTGAGTTTGATATACAATATAGGAAACAAATCTGCTTAAATGTTGATATGCCTTTTTTATCTTAATAATGTGCAAATATAGAGCATTTTATTATTTGTACTGTAGGGTTGTTTCTCTCTGCAGTCTGTGGCCCTGTGATGATAGACCTGCTGTGACCCATTTTCAGGCCCACCAGTCACTATACCGTTAGAAAGAACATGCATCTTATTGTATCTAATTTGACTGACATATGCATTTGTTATTTTGTAACAATACAATGAACTCATCTCAGAGAGCCTGGCAGCACTGCCCTAATGTTCATACATTTTAACAGCAACCTAGTTAGAGAATTAGTTACATGTTTTGCTTACGAGATACTAATACCTAGTCTCATCTTATCAACATCCAACTCATTTTGTCTGGATCATATCTCTCCAGCTGCCCTCCCATTTGCCATGTTTGTCAGGAAATAGTTCAGTTGTAATGGTCAGGGATGCATTAACAAAATGCTATTTTCTCCCGTACGTGGAAACATGGCCCTGAAACAGCTTTCGGGCCGAAATAAAATTCAGGCTTGTGGTCCTGTTGGCTGCAGCACGCTTAATGGCAGGCCGTTTTGACTCTGATGTAGCCCTGCATGGCCTAGCAGCATGACTGTTATTCAAGCTGGGCATAAGCTGACTCATGTACCACTGAGAGCCGTACGGCCGTGGAGTCTGTGCAGAGGGAGAGTGTTCTAGCATCATGTTGCTCAAGCTTTTTCTTGTCATACACCACAAGATCAGCCGAATACATTTGCTGGAGCAGAGTTTTTTTTATTGTGTATCAACGATAGCCAGAGATAATGTCAAAACAAAAGCATCAGCTATCTGCGATTTATCAAGCGGATTTGGCATTTCTAATTAATGTATTAAATATTATTATTATTAGGCTACTATTATTATTAAATTAATATTCAAATTAATAATAAAAAATATAGAATTTTCTATACATAGCGAGGGGTGTAACGGTTCACAAAATTTACGGTTCGGTTCGATACGATACACTTGTGTCACGGTTCAGTACGTTTCCGATACAGCAAAAAGAAAGAAATGCCAGAGAAATTTCCTTGATTTAATTTTTTTAATTATATTTTTATTAAAACTAACATCATAAAGTATGATATTTTTTTAACTTTGAGCAATGATGGAGCTATACTTGACTTTTCTTAGGAGCTTATAAAACAAAACAGCTCCTTGGACAAAATGAAATGTAATATTGTAGTAGTTAAACAAAGGTTTATTTTAGTTCAGATTAACATTTGAGGGCAGCAATTGTATTCATAATGTCAAAATAAAACCGACGTAACGTTACTTGAAAGCATTGTAGCCTACTATTCCTGCCAAACTTCTATGGTTACAGTTAGTAGTGTTACTACAGTACATCCATGGTGAATGTTGCTGATCTGTGGACACTGATTAGTTCATTCATGGCACAATGTTTCTTCCTGGTTTCCACGTCAGCGCTGTTTGATCCGTTAATAACGGAGAAATGCGAATGTTTCTCACTACTAGATCTCGCAGCGATGTTATTACTTCACTGGCGAATTCAAATGCTTTCTTTACTGGATTTCGCTGTGTAGTAACAGTGCTGATGATTAAGATCGGCTCGCGCTGCATTGGTCCAAACTGATAAACGGTCCGTCAACCACACAATAACGAGTGGTTTCGTTCCGCTTGCATTACATGTGCCATTTGATGTTGGGCAATGTTGTGTCAGGTCACGCCAGCGTATCTTACATTATGTGCGCGCTTGCCACGCGTGACGCGCCTACATTTGAAATAACGAAATTTTGGTCGGCAGGAACAATGGTCCAACAATGGTCCAAAAATGGTCCAACAAGATGTTCGGTTCAAAAATGCGTACCGAAAACCAAACCGAAAGCCTCGTAACCGAACGGTTCAATACGAATACGTGTATCGTTACACAGCTAATAGCGATACTGAAATATCTGAAACGCTTCCAATGCTCATTTTCCGCAGAATAGATACACAATTCCAGCTGCGCTCTCCGTCAGCGAGTTGACACACAAACCCTCCTCCCCTCACTCGTTTTATTTGCTCCTGATGAATATTGTTGGTGTTACACGCAAAATAATTACAAAATACTGGTATTCACGTAAACACAGTCAGTTATGTTTTAAGTGAACGTAAACGCACGTGTGTAAGTTAACAGTATAATGGATCAGTGTAACAGCAGCCTAATATTCCTGCTGCCAAATTATGAGATGATATTAAAATATCTACCTGGCCATTTTTTTCCCATGAATTGTGGCCAGCGAAAATGTTTAGTGGCTAGTAACTTTGTTAAACCACTAGCCACAGTGACTGGTGGTGAGCAAAAAAAAGTTAATGTCAAGCCCTGATTATGTAATTCAAATTATATTATAGCAGTGACAGTCTATAATAGGTACGGAAACTGCAATAATCAGTCTTCAATGAAAATTAAGAGCAGCTTTATTTTAAACACGAATTTCAAAAATAACTTGTTTAAAATTGAATGCTGCTTCTAATTTTTTCTGCTGCGGATGGGCCACAAGTGAATTATTAAGACATAAATGAAGGCAGTTATATACTGTTACCAGCATATGTTGAAGTAGATTCATCTCTCGTCGCCTCTGAGAGAATATGTGCCGTTATTGCAGCATCAGATGTCAAAAGCTTGGTCAGTCTCTACTTTCACTTACTGTAGTGAATAGTTGTACTGTGGTTTGAAACTTCTTCACTCGTTCACTGCCATAACTCGGCAGTGTGTGAACTTGTGTGATGTCCACTGGATTGCCTTGGTTTAAAACTGAAATATTTCCAATATTGAGACGTAAGATTTTTCTTTATCACCAACTCCGTCTTTTCTTGCAAAATGAACAATTTTGTACGAGTCATTTCCCACGATAATAAAAGTAAATAATGAAATAAATGAGTAAATATGCATATAAGAAAGCCCCCCTCCCCACTATAATATTGTGTATCGGCGATTGCACGCTGATGATAATGGTGTACCGATCAGGAGTTTTGGAGCCGATACTGATCCATTTGAAGCCTTCTTTTTATTATGTAGAATTATTTATAGGGATGCTCCAATCAGGATTTTTACAGACATTAATTCAGGGCCTGAATTTCATGTAAAAATATTTTACCCACGCCGGACAGAGATTGAGACAGCGCCGCTGCATGGCATGCCATACCTCTCATTGCCAGAGGTGAGGCCAGAAATATTTAAGTGGGTGGGCCTTTATAAAACAGGGTGGGAAGGCGTAGAGTATAAAAACGGCACGGCAAATTGCCAAGAAAAAAAATAGTTACATTGTTCTGCAAGTCGCTCCTGATATTGTTATGAATAAGATTGACAGTGATATATCGTAAGGGTATCAGTGGATACTTGTTGCAGCCTGTTTTTTTTAATATTCATTTTTATGTCATCTAGCACTAACTTAGAGATAGCACTAGATTATGGAAAAGATTCAACTTTTTAACAGCACTATTTGAAGTGCTGTTTTGTTTAAAATGATTTATTTATTTAACTATCTCAATATTTTCATGCTATATTACACTGTTGTGATGCTAAATTCACTTAAGCTTATATCCTCCTGACATCACATGATTTGACATTGTTATATAAATATTAAATAAATATTATAGATTAAAAATATTGATTCAAATAATTATAAATAAATTTAAACCAGATATTGGTCGGATTTTTAATTTTCACTAATGAAGAGTTGTATCTGATAATGAGGAACATATGGGTTAAGATTGTAAACGTGCTTCAAACAGTGATGTTTCGGTGACTGATTCCTTTATCAGTTCCTGTAGTCTGGATTGTCATATCAAACACTGTGATGCTTCATCTCTGCTTCGTTACAATATTGGATTATTGGGCTTGCTTTAAATGGATAGTGTTTCTGTTTAGCCATGGTGAAATTGGATCTAATGGCTTTAAGGAATCAGCTTAACATTTATAAGTCCCAGCTCACTGTTGAAACTTTTTTTTTTTTTTGTATATCAGTGCCAGCTTTGTCTATTATTGGCGTGAAAGTTATCTAAGCCTAACTATAGCGCTTCGTCTTGGTTTGGTTTACTGATGAGTCACTGAGGGATGTTGAACATGTTAAAATGGAAGTTTCAAATCACTTTGGGATTTTCTTTGTTGCATAAAAAATGACAGGAAAAAGCAGAAAGAGGATCCCTCAGAAAGACTGAATCCCACAGGAGAACCTGTTTACCAGGTAGCATGATATTTCTGATATTTGAAGGCATTTCCTCTAAAAAGACAAAAGGTTCAGTGTTGGCTGTGATGTAGTTTTTGCTCTTGCTCTCAGAAGAGAAATAGAGGACATGAAAGAAAAGCTTAAGATTCAGACTCCCACAGTGAGTTTGTCAGATGACACAAAAAGAAGAGTAAAAAGTTGTTTGCATCAGTGCATTTGACAGGATATAAAGAGTAGAAGTAACTAGATTCATAGTTTCTCAAAACATTGTTACGCCATGTCTACTGGGCACGTCGTCCATCTTCACTGGACCTGGTTTATTAGTTTTCAAACAGAATTTTAATATTGGTGCATATGATCACTTAGAAAAGTAATACCACACCTTTTCGTAAAAGGGCCTCATTGAGTGTCTCATCGAGTTTCTGTCGGCCTAGTTTTTCCGGCGTGTTCCTGTCCGGCTGCTTTTTGGCAAAAACGTCTGTTAAAGATCACTCTGATTGACTGTTCAGCTTAGTGAGCCAGTGCAGGAGAAGAAAAAAGAAAGCGATGTAAGCATGCAAATGACACAGAGGGCAAAATGGTAAAGCAAGCACGGCTTTGTTTTGCCTTGTTTGCTCTTTAGGCTTCCCTTTTTGAACGATGAATACAGACTACTGCCACATGCTGGTAGAGTGGCCGATATGACCAAAATCTTATATCACGATACGAGTAATTTTATTTCACGAAAACTATATAGGCTACATCACGATATAGTTATTTTTGATGATTTCATGATGATGAGTTTTTATGATTTCAATGATGAATTTCATAATTCTGGTCACCATTTTCAGTATCACAAAACAAAACTAATAGACTACTAGCCCAAGTAAACAAAACTCAATCTCACTGGTAACTTATAGTAAACAGTGATAAAGAAAGAACAAAGAAACTAATTACAAGCATATAGGAAAACAAAGTACAATAGAACAAAGACACAAATGAAATAGACCTACCTGAAAACTTAAAGCACTAGAAATAAGAAATACTACATATATTGCATGTAAAAGTAATCAAATGTATAAAAAACAGTGCATAGTCTTTACTGTGTAAATTAAATATACATTTATTATTAAAGTTACAAAAGTGTTTCAGTCAAGAGCAGTGAGAGATTTTCACTTTTTTGTTGATTGATTATCATTAATAACAACAGCAGGTAAATTTGGATTGTCATTTTAAGACCGACTGCATGGATCCATTATACTTGTGTGTATTCTTTCTCAACCGTTTATAGGTTCACTTAAGACACAAATGACTGTTTACTTGCAAAGACATGGTCACTTTGACTCAAGTATGTTTTTTTTTAACCGTTCAAGCCCAATTAGTCGTCAAAAAGCACCCAAGTTAAGTTCTCACACGCTTTATGGACAGTGGCTTCATGTGCACGCATCTCTCAGGCAATGCTGAAATTGACAGCACGTGCATATAGCGAAATGAGTTCTCTTTCGCTGCTTATTGCACTTCAACGCTTTAAAGTTTAGTAACCAGTGTTTAATGAAAAAGAAAAAGAAAAGCAATTGTGTTTTTCCCCCTTTTGTACCGAAAACATACCGAACCGAGACTTCAATGTATGTACCGAACCGTTATTGTGTATTTACACTCTAGTGGTTTGTTCAAATCCCTAACTGTTGCTGATTAGAGATTGATGTAAGCTTTGCTTAGTAAGGTCAGGGAAGTGTATGAAGGATAGATATCACTTGTTTGTAGTTTTTATGTTTGTTTAATGCATCAAGAATGGCCTTTCAGTGGACCAATGCTTTTATCTCTGTGCTCTATCTCTGGCTTGACTCTCTAACGGCATCCTGTGTCATTCAGTATGGCTATGCATTATATCTGATTCTCCTTGGATGAGTCATCGGCAATGTCACCCCCCCCCCACGCGGTGCAGTAAACACGGGGGAGTGAGCTCAGTATGCAATCATCGCTGCCACGTCTCACATCATCTCTTCATCTCTCTCATCTACTGCGCTCCTTCTCTCTCAGGTTTGATTTGTCTCACGGCACTCAGTGGGAGGAGCCATGACCGAGGGGGAGGGACAGTTTTACAGCGTACAGGTGGGGGACTCCACCTTTACGGTGCTCAGGAGGTACCAGCAGCTCCGCGCCATCGGATCCGGTGCCCAGGGTATCGTCTGGTGAGTGGGCGGCTGGAATTAGCAGAGTTTTATCTGCCTCCATACTAATGATGTCATCATCACACATCTCATTAGGCATCGCCTGTCTCCATTTGTCATGATGAACGCGGCAGATGTGATTTTGTCATTGACCTCATTAGAGATTTTGATCCCTGGTTTATAGCTGGAGTAATAATAAGGGGGATTTTACAGCCAGCTGCATGTCTAAATTGTTTATCCAAGTTCAGGAGATGGACACTAAACCGTACGATACAGTAATGACATTTAAAAGGGGATTGAGGTACAATAAGACATTGCCCATGCACAAATATGGATATGAATCATGTTTGCACCACTGATGATGGTTACTACAATGATGAATCATGTTCTTTCTGTCAAAACTCTTTATTATAGAAGCATGTTTTATTAGATTGAGCTGGTTAACCCTGTGAGATACCTCAGTTGACTCTTTTGAAGAAATTTACCAGTGTTCTTAAGTCTTCCCTCAAAACTACATTTTTAGGGTAGCTTTTATTTGACAAATATTTTTTTCTATCCTATTTACTTATTGAATTGTTTTGATACGTTTTTATTTTTGTATTGTATATCTGAATGTACTTCTCTTATGAATGCATTTATTTTATATAATTGTATTTCTCTTTTATTATTATTATTATTATTATTATTGTAAAGCGCTTTGAGATGTAGAAAATAACGTTTATTCTTCTTATTATAAACCAAATATAGTTGTAGAGGGTTTTTTTTTTTTTTTTTTTTGCAAAAATAAATTGTTTAGTTTTACCATAGATATTTCTCGCCATCAAAATAGCTACAGAAGCTGGCATGGTGTTAAAAAACAAACAAACTACAATGATGATTGTGATGTGTGCCTGTTTTTCTGCCCCATTAAGCTCCGCCCTGGACACCGTACTTGGCATCCCAGTTGCTGTGAAGAAACTGAGCCGGCCCTTTCAGAACCAGACCCATGCGAAGAGGGCCTACAGAGAGCTGGTTCTGCTCAAGTGTGTTAATCACAAGAACGTACGTCCCCTTAACAGTGCACTCTTCCACTCAGAAGTACAATTTGAACTGACTCAAGCAACTCTATTTTGGTCAGGGGGCTGTTCCATAAATGAAGCTTAGAAAAGCAGGGATTAAACTCCAAAACCGGACTTGAATGAGCCTAACAAATAAGTTGGGGCTAAAGTGGTTCCATAAAAGGTAATTGAAGTTCACGCAATCTCACTAATTTGATCCAGGTTTATCTAGTCTAGATAATTGCGTGTGCACGCGTTTCTGAAGCAGCCCTAGAGGTCGATCGTGGATCAAATCGATCCACCATCATACAGCGTATATTTTGTGCTGTTTTATGCATTTGTGACATGTTTTTTTTTTTCCCTCAGTGCACAAATTACATTTTACAGTTATATTCTCCATCTGTAAATGTTAGAAAGTCGTGCAAATGTATCCATTTTGCTGCTAATCTTCATATTGAACGAGCGCTGCTGCGCGCATGCGCGCCAAATAGGAGCGCAATAATTCTGACTAAAATATACATTTTGCTTGGAAAATTAATATGCGATATTTTATAACACTAGAAATATCTTCTAATTATAATAATTTCTCTTTAGGATGTTGGATAAGTTGCAGTGAACTTCTAGCTCATTACACTCATATATTTTATACTTCTAATAAAAAAAAGAAATTGAACAGAAGTAGCCTAATTCAGGGAAGATTTTTTTTAAAGAAACTAAATAAATAAAGATACAAAATATAGTTTTGGGTATAGGACCTATGCTACTTTATAAAGATGATATATACTTATTTAGAATGCTGAGAATTACAGCTTTTAATGCAATCTTTTTTTTTGAGAAAGCAAGAATCCCCAGTTTTAAATGAGTGGTTAGATTTAGTTTCTAAAGTACATTATGGAGAGGATAACATTAAATTAAGAACAAATGTATACATTTTGAAAAGATATGTGCAACTCTAAAATCAAAGAATATTCCATAAAATAAAGGAATATATTGGCCTACATTAACTACATTTTTATGTAACCTTCCCTTTTATTTCTAGTTATTTGTTATTTTATTTATTTACTTATTTAATATTGAATATTTGATATTTAAATAATATTACTTGAATAACTTTTAGGAATTATGTGTCATTCATTATAAGAGTTTGATATATGTGAATGTTATATTTTTATTAATATTTATTTATTGTTTTATTTATATGTATGTGTTGGTATTATCACAAAAGAAAAAAAAGTAGAAGGAAAAATAAGGAATATTTATTGGGGGAAAATATGATGTCTTTAAAGGAACTGTCCATTTGTATAATTGTGTTAAATGTGTTTGAATTGAAAGACATAATAAAGTACTTAAAAAAAAAAATAAAAAAAAAATAAAAATATATATATATATATATATATATATATATATATATATATATATATATATATATATATATATATATATATATATATATATAAGAGACAGTGTAGAGAAAGAATTCTCTGATAACCGAGGCATTCCTTAATTAAAATGTCTTTATTACAAAAATGACATGTCCTAAACGGAAAACTTTAAAACGCCTTATATATGTGTCTATATTGTAGCCTTATTTAAGTTGATTTTCTGTATACTGTGTATTTATAAAGTCCAATAATGGTATTAGAGACTGTCAGTGGTAATATCATTGTGTTCTTGTCGGTCAGTGTTGAGGATCTGTGTAACAACTGAGGCTTAGCCTGACAGTTAGCCTGCCCTGGACCAGGCTAGTTTCCCAGCATAAGTTGCCAGGGTAACTGAGTTTGAACTTTTTTAAGTTTGATTTATGAAACCGAATCTACCAAAAATAAGCTTGACTAACCGAAATAAGCCTGGCTTATACTCTAATCTTGGTTTATGGAACAGCCCCCAGGGCTGTCGTACCTACGGACTGTTTTTGTTGGAATGTCAGACTTCTGTCACACTCACCGGTTAAGAATGCCAGAGGAGTAATGGTCTAAACAACTACCTCTGATAATTCTCTCCAATTGCCTGTCACTGAACAGCCTATTTTGGCTGAGAAAACAATGTGAAGTTAAAAAATAAGAACAGGAGAACCACGTAAACACAAACTTTTGGCATAACCTGAATTCAGATGTAATTCTTGGACTAACATTACCCAGTTAGAATGTCTTTTCTTTTTTTCTTTTTTTTCTTTTTTTTAGGCATTACGACAGCCATGAATATTGGTATTGCAATTTTACTATTGCTCCATAAACTACTTTTTATTTATTTTATTTATTATTATTAATACATTTAAAATATTTTTGGCTGCAAATCTCAGAGAAACGCACTACTGTTTTGTTCCCAAATAAATTGCGTTTTTGAACAAAATGGTTGAAGGAATGATTCAGTGACCCATTCATAAAGATAGTCACTTCATTTAATTTTTGTTTAATGATAATAATTATTATTGTTATTGTTGTGTAGTTAGAATGGGTCAATATGTCTTAATTCTTAAAGGTTGTATCAGCGATTGTGGGTGACGTCACTTCTGTTAGCTCGCCCCTCCCTCCCGTTTCGTGCATCATGAAAAAAAAAGATCATGCACACATATAACAAACGTAACTCACACACTAAATCCCTACAATTTGATATTCGCTAGAGCTATCCAAGTTTAGTCGAGCTTCACTCATATTTTTTTTAAAGAAGGATATTTTCACACACAGTTCACATCTGAAAAAGTCAGCACTAGAAGCGGTCCAGAAGAAACAGTGCAACCTCAGCTTCAGATTTAAAACATTTCAAATCTTTAAGCTCTCTCCACCGTTCAAAAGCCTTCCCAATTATTATTCGTTTCTTTAACGAATAACGACGGTTTTCCCTCGCCCTAATCCTCCTTCTCTTCTTGGGGATTGCCTCTTCCTTGTTCACTGTATCTGGTCCGTTGGTAGACGCGCTGGCTTCTTCTTCAGCTCTGACTTCGCGTGCAGGCGCCGTGCACGAGCGCAAAAACAAACAAAACCCGCCCCTGTCGGTGATTGGTTGGAACAATGTTTATTTTGGCTTTGAGTGGTGGTTGTACCCATTTATTTTTGTGTTCAGATCTCAGAGCCTAGACTGCCTACAGAGATGCGTTTTTGACAGCCTGCTTATGGGGCGGGCAGCTAGCGGATCGTTAGGAAAGATTAGATGAATGTGATCATTTATGTTTGGGCCTGAAATCGCTGATACAACCTTTAAGGAAATATTAATATTAAGAGAATACTGTTAATATTAATAATAATGGAAAATACACAAATAAAATAATTTAAACATTTCTTTCAACTTTGGATTGATAACTATATTGAATCTAGTACATAATATACTCATATTGATTAAAGGTGCCCTAGAATGTGAAATTGAATTTATGTTAGCATAGTTAAATAACAAGAGTTCAGTACATGGACATGACATACAGTGAGTCTCAAACACCATTGTTTTCTCCTTCTTAGTTAAATCTCGTTTTTGAAAAACACCCCTGAAAAACAGGCGAATCTCCACATATACCCGACTGTGACGCAACAGTCGGGATCATTAATATGTACGCCTCCAAATATTTGCATAATGCCAGCCCTCAATGCCAGGCGGAACTGCGCAGCCGAAGCATGGCAGTTGCTCAGTGTGGATGTACACATGAACACAAAAGTATTTTTTAGTTCCTTCATCTGAGCCTCTGAAGAAACAATGGGTTAATTTTATTTTCTCTGGAAATTTCCAAACATTTCACCGACTGTTTCCTCAACTTGGGCCAATACAGAGCTGGCCTCGGATCGAGCTACTAAGCAACACTTTCTGATGTGTAATTGTTCAAGTTCAGACAGGTAATCTTTCTCTCAAAATCGTTCAATACTGTTTATGCATCAGTAAGTCAAGCCAGTGACTAAAATATCAACTTCACATCGTTTCTATTACTAGGATGAAAATAATCGTATTTAAATTGTGAACAAATTATATACAGAAAGCGATCAAAGAACAATCTTTCCACACAGCGCGAGTTTATCTGGACACTTGCCAAACTCGTTATGAAATCAATGACGCACGTTACTGCACAACGAAGCTCTTACTGTATTTACATCATCGTGTTTGCATTGGTGAAAGCATTAGAGAGTGCAGAAACTGCTTTGCAATGATAAGATCTTCATTCTCGCGATCAACACACTGTCATCTGCTCAATGCTCATCACGGCAACATTTTATGTGATGGGAATAGATCTAAATACTTTAAAAACATCTCACGATTCGTTAATCTCGATAGCTGTTATAGTAAAAACGTATAATAGCAGTAGTAAAAGTATTCGAGAGAGTTTCACATGTAATGCGTACTAGCTATTTCATATGCAAGCATGTCAGCCAATCACAGCATTGGCCGCGGTTACACACAGCAGACACGCCCCTTCAAACAGAGTGTTCAAATCAGAGGCTAAAAGCAGGCTAGGAAAAATGCCATTTATTTCAAAATTATGATTATTTTTGATCTAAAAAACATACTAACATTAAAAGGGCAACCCAGGAAACATTATAAAATAAAATAAAAAAACATTCTAGGGCACCTTTAATCTGCAAGCATATTGGATTAAATTATTCATTTGATACCCAATTCTCCAGGGACTACGATGGTTATCATTGAAAATCAGGTAGTGAGACCCTGGCCTTTGTTGTCAGGCTGAATCTTAAATTTGTTTTGTCATGTTTCACTTTTTTTTTCTGTTCTATTTTTTTCCCAGATCATCCGTTTGCTTAACGTCTTCACGCCTCAGAAGTCATTAGAAGAGTTCCAGGATTTGTAAGTTTTGAGTTTATAAATTCATGCGTTTATGCTGACCTAATTTAGTGTAAGCAGAGTTTGTATAGCCGCAGGGTCTATTGGTGCTTTGGCCCTCGGTGTGATTATTAACATTCATAGTTTTGCTGGGACCACAATGCAATCTCTAGAGGAACTGATGAATTGCACTGTTCTACTCCTGCATGTGATAATTACAGCTTTAGGATCGAAAATTATATGTTATTAAATCATGATTAATTACAACTCCTGACAACAGCACTTCTATTGCTGTTTTATAAAAGTGTTGCTGACTCAATGTATTAAGCTTGGGAGTGTAAAGCCCGGCTCGGTCGGCCCAATGGAGGCATCCGATCAGCGGGTGAAGGTCTCTGCGTGTTACTGTCTTTTCTCGTGGCAAAGTATTTTTGATTAAATGCAATACATTTTCTCATACGTATTCTCTCGTTATTTCATCTGACTCCATAAATGAAAAGGTTTTTTAATGATATCTGTGCATCATTTAAATATAAGCGAAAGTTTGACACTTCCTTTAACTCTTTACTGGAAATAATGTCAGTTTGAATAATCAAATGTAAGAATTTATTATGTCAGGTAAACGTTCATATTTCATAATCAGTTCAAAGATAATCAATGCAAAACATCAAATGCTCTGGAATAAAGAGAAGAAATGCGAACCCGACATTTAAGAAATACATGAAGCTGAGAGACTCGGCCTCTCTCAGCCTCACAGGCTCATCTGAAGTACAGAAAAGGCCCCGAGCCCCTTGCTGCATTTCATTATATAGGCTAACAATGGATATTTGCATTCAGAAGTTTACACCTATTGGGGGTAGGACCGTGTGTCTAGAGACCACATTCCTTTGTGTGCCAGTTATCCCTAAACTCTTAAAAACCTTTTGTTTTACTTATTTGGAAATGAGACATTTCGAATGATATTAAACATGTATAATACTCAATGATAATCATTCACATTAAACCATTTAGATTCTTGTGTGAGTTTGGGTGATCTTCGCATGGGTGATGAGGGGGAGAAATGTAGATTAGGATGAGGAAGGTGAGACCTTCGTCTCAATGGTGCACGAGGGGGAGTTCAAATGTTAATTTTCAGCCTCAACCAGTTCTTCCAGTTTTTCCAGTCTTACAGGATCTTGGCTTGTTTTATGCTAGTCAGTACTATGCATGAGCTGTACATGAGCACAGAAAACCCTGAAGAATCTGGTTTCTCTCCTCAGGTACCTGGTGATGGAGCTGATGGATGCTAGCCTTTGTCAGGTGATCCACATGGACCTGGACCATGAGAGGATGTCTTACCTGCTCTACCAGATCCTGTGTGGCATCAGACATCTACACTCAGCTGGCATCATTCACAGGGTGAGATGTAACTACAACTCGTGTGGCAGTTAAGTAAGAATAATTAGAAAATAATAATTAGAAAAACTGAAGAAAAAAAACATGTAATGCCTCAAACTTAACTTAATAAAACAAAAATAACCATGTTAACTAAACATATTTGTTTAATTTTTTGGTACACTGTACATTATAAAAATTTGCACCTTGATTAACGATGATCCCACTTATTAACATGGCTGCTTAATAAATACATGTAAATGAAATGGGCTACAAAGTGATATGAAAGACTAGCACCACTACACTAAAAACGTTGGATTGTACGGTTCAGTGATCATTATGCTAAAATATGTGACCACAGAATGCTGCCATTGACCAATTATATTTAAGCATTTCAGAGAGCTTATACAGTGATTTGGGTTTTCTTTGACTCTAAAACTACACCTAAAATATAACTTCAAATACTAAGCAAAAACTGATGTGGGAATTAATGATTGTTAAACTAAACTGAAAATTTAAATGAAAAATTCTAAACTATAATAACCTTGTTTGGATGGATGGATTGATTGAACTTAATTTTCCATCAAATATGAAAATGTTCCTTCTCATAAAAACAAAAATGTTGTACACATTTAAGACACAGACAACAATCATTCAACAAATTCAGAACAACCACCCAATAAAAGTAATCTTTCTCACGAACGATGCTTCTTACCCGTACTTAATTCCATTCAATATTCTCACTGCCACTGGTATAAAAGAGTGGTCGGGGGACTTTCTTTCAGATGGAAGCTTTACAAATTCAGATCATTATTTGTATAATTTGTACCCTACTAAAGGCTTCAAGCTCAGGTTTAAATAATGGCAAATTTTTTCTTTTAATAAGTAAAGACCGAATCCAACGTGACACACCACCAGCTGTGTTCTCTGAGCCATTTGACATTACAGTATACCAAAGTGTGAGATTGTCTTTCAGCATGACTGTATGAGACTGTATCATCTCTGCCCCGCAGGATCTGAAGCCCAGTAACATAGTAGTGAAGTCCGACTGCACTTTAAAGATTTTAGATTTTGGGCTGGCCAGAACCGCCTGCACTAACTTCATGATGACACCCTACGTAGTGACCAGATATTACAGAGCACCAGAGGTCATCCTGGGCATGAAATACAAGGAGAATGGTAATGCTATTTTTTATTTTTTTTTGTCAGTAATATTCTTGAAAGCCATTGGAGAGATACAAATAAAATTGTTATTAATATTTCATTGTGTTTTGCCAGTGGATATCTGGTCGGTGGGCTGCATCATGGGTGAGATGGTCAAAGGGAGCGTCATATTCCAGGGCACTGATCGTATCCTCTTGAGCCTTGTTCAATAGCTTGTCCATAATCACCTGTGAAAATACGCATTTAAACTATGCATTTATATAGATGTAACTTTTAAATGCAAATTAAAGCATAGAAAGTAGAAAATACTTTTTGTAACAAGCTGCCGTTCAAAAGTTTGGGGTCAGTTCAGCTTTTTGGAAAGAAATTGATAGTTTTATTCAGCAAGGATGCATTAAATTGATTTTAAAGTGACAGGTGACATTAAGGGGGCTTTTACACTGGGCTCGTTTGCTGCGGTCCGAGCCCGAGCGCGTTTGTTCCCGGCGTTGGTCTGGTTTCACACTCAGCTTGATTCTATCGAACCCTGGTGCGTTTGCGTGCATATTACGTCATCGCAAACCTGCACGGCGCATGATAGAAAACAGAACGCGGGCCAATATTATGTTTTTTTTATTAATTCGCTGCTATTATGCGCAGTTGAGTGAACAATACAGGTTTACTGTGCGTGTGTCACATAAGGTGGCCTTCTGCTGCTTGCAAACGGACTCTTTTGAAGAGACGGTGGATCTCCAAATTTGGTGCCCTGATTTCACGCGCAATGCACGAATACACTGCAGGCTCACTCTCGCTCGTATCCAAGGTAAATCATCAACACTATCATCCCTTACAAGTGTTTTATTTAACTGAATACATCACAATAAGCTAAAAACGCATGCGCAGGTCACTTTACTTCCTGAACAAGTCCGTGCTGCTTTCACATTCACGCGAACCGCGGCACGGTTCGGGAGCAACCGAACTTAGACCACCTCCTCCAGGTAGTCTCGGGTTCGGTACCCCAGAGCGCACCCGGGTCCCATGACATGAAATCACATTAGCAATTTTTCATGCGAACCGTGCCCCGTTCCGAACTAAACTGCCAGTGTGAAAGCCCCCTAAGAGATTTATAATGTTACAAAAGATTTTATTTAAAATAAACTGCAGAATGCTGTTCTTTTTAAATTTATATTCATCAAAATTGTTACAACAGTTTTCAACATTTGATGTTAATTTTAAATGTTTCTTGAGCACTAAATCAGCATATTAGAATGATTTCTGAAGGATCATGTGACACTGAAGACTGGAGTAATGATGATGAAAATTCAGGAATAAATTGCATAATATATTACATCAAATATATTCAAATAGAAAACAGTTGTTTTAAATTGTAATAATATATCACAATATTCATGTTTTTACCATATATTATATTTTGGATCAAATAAATGAAGCCTTGGTGAGGCTCGTGATTTTAAAACATCTTACCGATCCAAAACTTTTGAACGGCAGTGTATATTGTGTGTGTGTGTGAGTTTCACAAACTGCCTGCAGTTCTATCATGAAACTATAGGTGTGTGAAACCCTGGTGTGATGGATTAGACATTATACTGCTTATCTCTGAATAGCTCCGGGTAACACTTTATTTTACAGTGTCCTTGTACACATTACATGTAGTTACTGTAGTAATGACTATAAATTATACATAATTACATGCAACTAACACTAAACCAAACCATAATACTTCCCCAACCCTGCAGAAAGAACATGTAGTTTATTTATACTACTCTGTACTTAAATGTTTATAATACACTGCAACAAGGACACATTAAAATAAAGTGTAACCTAGTTCTGCAAAGTATCGTTCACTCGTGGTTTTTACACGTTTTATGTTTCTTGTCTGGTTTTGGTTTAGCAAAGTTCGTCATACTTCACGTCTTATTAAATATTCACTTTATTTTTTTTCCATCTATGTCTGTCCTAGTCGTTGAAAAATAAGCTGTTCTCGGTGTCAATGCCATGTGAATCTTTCACCTGACCTCCTTAATTGAGTCAATCTCAGATATTGACCAGTGGAATAAGGTCATTGAGATACTGGGAACCCCGTCGCTGGAGTTCATGAACCGTTTGATGGACACTGTAAGGAACTACGTGATGAACAAACCTCAGTTTCCCGGAGTCAGTTTGAATGAGCTTTTCCCCGATTGGGCCTTCCCATCAGAGACCGAGCATGACAAGATCAAAAGTAAGACATCCTAAATCTTCCATGTCTGTAGCTTTTTTTGTGTTTTATCTTACTTTGCTGTCTCACTGAGTACAGTCTTAATGGTGTACTAAACAATTACTTTTTACATCGTTCCTAATGTAGCTAGTCAAGCACGAGACCTGCTGTCCAAGATGCTGGTCATCGACCCTGAAAGCCGTATCTCTGTGCAGGAGGCCCTCAGTCACCCTTACATCCACGTGTGGTACGACCCAGCCGAGGCCGATGCGGTCAGTGCACCCTTATCCTTTCATGTCACTTTGTCCTGTCCAGTCAAGTTGAAACTGTTTTACAGGGGACATTTGTACAATGCCAAGAAGGTTCTCCCTTGAGAGAAGGACTTGTAATGATTGTTTTGTGTGTTCAGCCGCCTCCACAGATATCAGACAAGCAGTTGGAGGAGCGGGAACACAGCATTGAGCAGTGGAAAGGTACAAATGCCCTCTGCTGTCACTACCTCCTGTTGAGCTATAAGCTTCTTGTAGAAAATGAATGCCTACAGCAGAAATGATCACTGAAGATCTTTTGCATTCTCATTTATTCTACAGTAATGGGTAGTTTTTCAGTCTTGACCTTATAAGCTAATGTCTGCTGAAGGGTTGAGTTGGCTTTATTAGTGATTTGTAAAAAAGATAGAAAAGGACAAACTCTGCTTATGTTTTCTTGGGGGTTTTCTCTCCTTACAGAGCTAATTTATAAAGAAGTAATGGACTGGGAGGAGAGGAACAAGAATGGTGTCCTGAAAGAGGAGTGTTTAGGTGAGTCATTGTGCAAATGTGAAATCTGTGTATTCATCCAGCTGTCTCTGTCTAGTTGACAATGATTAATGCTGAAACTGATAGAAATTGGGTTGAATTTTGATTTTGGACTGTAAACTGACAATGTCAAAAAAATCTGCATAAACATTATTACGGCTGACATTTTGAGTGTTTCACTCACGTTTGTGACTAAAAATAGATGTGTGAGAACTGTAAAATGTATCTGTAATGACTTGAAAGTCATAAAAAATCTTAAATATCTTAAATGGTAAACAAAAGTCATAATGATCATTTATCATTTAAAGAGTTACATTAGAGGATGGAAAAACTGAAATTGCGATTACAGACTAATGTTGTTATTATTATTATTAAACTTCCAAAGGCTATGATTTTATTAAATATATATCAGCACTGCACATTTCAAAGTACAAATGCAGCACTGTAGCACGTTTACAGGCTTGTGGTTTTAGAGCAGTTCAGTGTCAATAAATTGAACACCATGCATTTATGCCAATTGATTGCTTATGATTACTGTTGATAAATTATGAATGTGTACTTGATGGTGTCCATTTTGTAATATTTTTTTTAAGATGGTTGTAAGTGTGTGATATGCCCTGTCCCAAATGGAACCCTAAGCACTCGCGGTCTTCCTCTGAGTCCGCACTTTCGCGACGTAACGCCGCTTTGAATGTCGGGAAGAAGTCTGCTGTGGAGTCCGCATCAGCGCGGGCTCGGCAAAAGTGCGCATCAAGGGCGCAAATCGACCGCAGAGGGGGCGCTCGCGAGCACCCTTCTGAGATCTAAAAATTACAAATGGGACACACTGCGGTCTCACGGACTCAACGGACACGCGCACGCGGCAGCCATTAAGTCCACAAGACCGAAAGTGCACATGAAGTGTGCCATTTGGGACAGGGCCTTTCATCTCCATCTCCTTTTTGAATGAGCAATAGTAAAGCGTACAAATTCCAAAATAAGAGTCCCTGTGCATTTCGGGCTTGTTCAAAATTAAAAGTGCATAGATTTTTCACCTGTTTATTATTGGCATTTTGGTTGTACAAAACCATCTGGCATTTAATTCAACACTCCTTAAACTCTTGTAGCTTCTGTCTGTCTGTCACAGGAAGGAAAGACTAAAAACATTATTTAACACATATTCAAAATATAGATTTGACTGGTATTAGCACAATAATCACTTTATTACAGTTAAATAAATGAACTATTTTACTTATTAAAGTTTGAAGCAGAAATATTTAAAAACTTGATGTACTTTTATTATTTAATGTCTCTTTGTATTCCTTTATTAAGGAAAAACATATTATTTGATACATTTTCATTGCACCCCTAAGTTTTTCAGTTTAGGAGCACATGTGCTCCTTGGGGAAAAAAGTAAGCGTCAAACCCTGCAGGATGGAAAGATTTGATGACAAAGTAGTGATGTCCTAGATTCTTCTTTTGTGTTGGACAGTTAAGAGAATTAATTGTCGCTGTCTGAAACTCACTAGTGTCTCAGTGTAATTTACGTAAAACTCAGAGACGACAATGCTGATCCACGTCGATAGATGGCAATGTAGCATCTAACACCATTGAGGTTTTAGTACTTAAATACACAAAGAACAGCAATGCTAATGCTAGCTAAGTAACTACTGAATTACTGTCAGTTACTGAAAAACAATTTTGAAACACAATGAAAGATGTAATAGTAAAAATGTTATCTGCATTCAATAAATATAACGATGTTAGACATATTTAGTGCATTATCTTGGGCCCTAATTTTGATGCATTGCTCTGTGTGTTGTAGATGGTACGGTGAACAGCAGCGCCACTGCCTCCCAGTCGTCCTCTATTAATGACATCTCGTCCATGTCAACGGAGCAGACACTGGCCTCAGACACTGACAGCTCCTGCATCGACACCCTCACGGGGCCGCTAGAGGAGTGAATCAAGTGACGACTTCTCGCTTGTCACGTCCCTCTCCCTCGCCAGTGTGGCCCATGCCGTGATCTTGACTGAAGAGAACTGTGGCTGCACGTTCATACAGCTGCAGGTTTACACTCGTAATTGTTTACTCTTGCTTTTTTCCTCTGTCCCATCTCACGTATACAAACATTCATGTAATATTCTTAATTCTGTCGCGATTGATCAAAAGAATCTTTATCCATTTCTTGTATGTTTAACTGCATCTTCACACTTTTACTTTTAGATTTTAAAAATAACTGTTTAAAAATGGGTAGATAGGTAATAGGTTTATGCATTAATGCATTCACATTTTACTTCATATAAACTAATATTAATTACCATCTTATCCATCTAGTGGAGTTATTATTATTGCAGAAGCATGTGTGATATCTGGATCTATCCTTGTCATTTATGTCCCCTCTCTCTGTGCGATGTAGCTTTTATCACTGTTCATTTCATCACCTAAAAGAAGCACAGATATAAATTCTCTGACAAATTTATAGCTAGTGAGCCCAACTGGAACAAGTTCCTCTTACAAGTATTGCTGCATGATAACAAAGAAGACTTACTAGACAGACCATTTAACTACAGATCACTGAAATATGCCTAAACACATCTAGAAATGGAACAATAGTGCCTGCCTCTGTACATAGTCACCATACATACACCCATTTTAAAAGAGAACCTAATGATGCATTTCTGTTGATTAGGGTGTAGTCATGTGTGTGTGTGTATATATACGTACATAGATTTTGTGTAAATGTTCTTTCTTTGTGCTGTGGAAACATTTTTACAGCTTCTGAATATGTTTTTGCAAATGTACTCTAAAACAAACTACCGGTATGTATGGAACTTGAAACTGATTTTAACCCTCTGATGGTCTTCAAAAAAAAGTCACACTCGTGGTCTTCGGGGTCTATTGGACCCCAGACAACAACATTTAATTTTTTAACCGAACAATATATTTTTTTTTTAACAAATATAATTTTACTCTGTTTATTAATGTTTTTACTCAACATTTGTGCAGTTTTTGGAGAATTTATGATTTTTATTTTTATTTCTATAAATAAATAAATAAATATTTAATTAAATAGGATTTTTACAAAAAAACAGCATTTTATGTTAAATAAACTTTATAAAAGACCCAGATTTCTAACTTTCATTCCTGGGGATACCATGGATAATTTTACAAGGTTTAATGTAAGATTTTTGCCCATTTTTTGGAAAATACAGGTTAAAATTTGTAATAAATCACTTTAACCACTAGATGGCTATAGAGCTCCATTATATGCTTTTTGCTATTTGAATTACTGAAAGATTTAGTTTCTAAAGTTGGATTCAATTGGATTCATATCTAAATATTATAAAATCACAATTATAACAAAAATAAAATAATTTTTGTCAAAATTTAGCATTTTTTGTACTGAAAAAACACTATGCATGGTAAACCGCATGACTTCTGCAGACAGGGTTGGAGCAGGTTTGGCACTTCACTGTTGTGTTTGTTGTTGTGTGTGTGTGTGTACATTTTATTTTTATTTTTATGTGTACAGTGTCACCAATTTATTTTTGTGGTGGTTCTTCATTTTGTATGATTTTATTTGACAAATTATAAGACTTTTTATAGCCTTACAAATGTATTCCTGTGTGTGTGTGTTTGTGTGTCTGTGTGTGTGTGTGTGTGTGTGTGTGTGTGTGTATGTGTGTGTGCGCACATTTTCAATGCGTCTAAGTGTTACCAATTAATTTTTTTGGTGGTTCTGCATTTTAGATTATTTTATTTTACAAATGATAAGAGAACAGTTTTTATAGTCTGTATGTATTCCTGTATAAATGTATTCCTCTTTATGTGTGTGTTTGTGTGTGTGTGTGCGCCTGTGGTGAGCATGATAATTTTGGATTGTGAATGTTTTTTGCATTATTGGAAGTGTGCCACTTTATTTCTGTCATTTCTGTCTATGTGTTCTGCGTTGTTTCTGATTTTGATGATGTTATTTTGTCTATTTTGATTGCGGGGTCCAATAGACCCCGAAGACCACGAGTGTGACTATTTTTGTCACGCCAACATAAAAACAGATATCAAAATTTTTTTTTTTTTTTTTTTTGTAGATCTAGAAAGTGTTGAGAGCCGTAGAAAGTTTCAAACCATTTGGACAAAGAGAACATTTTTTTTTAATTTGAGCAAAAGTCATTTGGGGTCCAATAGACCCCGAAGACCATCAGAGTTAAAAGAAAATTGCACATAGAGGTTTCAAAGTGAGCATATTCGGTTTAAAATGAACAAAAACTTGTATCTAGATCTGAGATGGCAAACTGTGGATGCAATATCCTAATCAAAGCCCCTGTTCCTCATCATTCCAAGAGTAATTAATCACTGCTGGCAAGTTCGTGACATCTCATAAGATTGTACATTTAATTGCATGAGCTAATGCAAACCATTGCCTTTTTTTAATTTCCTCAAACTTGAAAAGCCCATAAGAATGTTGTACAAAGCAAATTTATGGTTTCTTTCCTTTTTTTAAAAAAACAGGATTGTCAGCAGGTTTTTATTTCTTCACTTTCCTCTTGAAGATTTATTTTCAGTGAAACACTGAAGAATTTTCATGTTTGTATGGCCATTTAATTTATGTATATATATATATATATATACATATGTCTATTCAGCCTTAGTTTACTGTGTGCAGACTTGCAATTCAGTGGCACTGTGGCTAAACATGCACTTAGAGACCTGTTTTGGACTGTGTTCTTTAACACTGGTATTGATGATGGAGACCCGGCCATTCAATTCATTTGTCAACCTTTCTGCTTCCTTTTTCATCCAGTGTTCAGTTCAAATGTTGTAGACTGTATGATGTGTCCTGTACCCTAAATTCATTGTTATGCATGAAAACACGAGCCCTCTTCATCTAAAACTTGAGGACATTGCAGAAACCTGTCCTTTTGTTGTAGAAGACTAAATTGAGAAGGACATTTTGAGTGTATTGTTGAGTTTTTGGTCCTCCCAAGCTCTTCTGGTGGACTGAAACATGAATGTAGAACTTTCACTGATGGACAGGCCTGGAGGATGAACTTAGCTTCACCATAACAATCATGCCTTAAGCATCTCACTAACACCATCTCTACAGCTTGGCCTGGAGATCACAAAATGATGGACAGTAATGTGCCTGCAATCAAGTTTTGTTTCTTTTTCAGCAGTCTGGAATGTTTGCTACCATGCCACAACCTCCTTGATCTTGTGAGATCTCATTTGGTGCTTCACCTTACTTCACCTTAAAGTGATAATGTATTACAACAACGCAATAGTGCATTGTGTTCCATTTTCATTTCGAGCCTCATGCACATTAGGTTCGCTGTTGTGGACTCATTGATTCCTCTAATGAAGAGACAATGAACAAAGCTGGCTCACACATTCTCAAGGGCTCTTCTTTTAGGTGTCTGTTTCCCTTGTGGGAGAGGGTGTGTGTCTTTGAAAAACGGTGTTTTGTCACTGACAATCTATCACTAGAGGTGGAATCTGTAATGACTTGAAGAATTATTGACTTCTTGGATATTTACTTCTCAGACTATCTTCCTAAGAAAACAGTTCTCATGAATGTCATCATCAATCTTCTCAATCAAATCCTGTAAAAGGAATTAATATCTAACTGCTCTGTGCTAGTAATGTCTGTTTAGTTTTCATGTGTTTTGTATTGTTGTGCTACATATGGGTGCCCTCTCAGTGGGCTATGGGAATTACCCAAATCACAAACCTATCTGAAGCATATGCAAAACTTAAATGCGATTCTCTGTCTACAATAATAGAGTGAGACCTCTTTTCTCTAAGAAAAGAAAAAAGAACCATGTGTTACGCCTGTCCAAATAAAAATCTCAAACTAAAGTAGTTTGATGTCTTTATTTTTTTTTTTCATGTTATTTCATATGGTACAAATACATTCAGTGTATGAAGAGTTTGTTTTTGTACAAGGTATGAGTGTCTTGTGTTACCTACACAGTACTCCATTACATAATGTAAAGTGACCCCAAGCCAGGGCAGAGACTTTTTAAGTCTGAGCTCATTTATCGTAGAGTATCCCTAGGGACAAGTTTTCATTAGAATCTCTTTTCTCAAATATGGCATCCATGCTCAGACCATGATGTCTACATCATGAAACTCTATCCTACTTTTGGGTCCATTCCATTGTCTTTGAACACTTAAATGGCAAAAAATTGTCTTTTAATATTATTTTGAACATGCTGGTCCATACAGTCGTTCAGGCAACAGAACTGTACTCAAAAGTGGGGCAATGGTTTCCCTCAGGAATGCATCCTCAATTATACAGCCCTGAAACAGACTCCTGTTTTTAACACTGTTATTACTCTGAAACTGGTGTTTCCCAACCTGGTCTTGGAGTACTTCCAACATTACATATGTCTCCGTAATTAAACTCAGCAGCTGGTTTGCGAAACTTCTTTCTGAAATGGGGGTATCAGAGGAAGATATCCAAAATGAGTACTATTAGGGGTACTCCAGGACCACAGTTGGAAAACACTGCCCTAAAACATTGAAACCTTTCATATGCTGCTAAGCTTAGATTTGTTGCACAGCATGTGAATCACAAACAGCATGTGAATTCAAAAACTTTGAACAATGCGACTGGTTTTCCGGGCCTCTGCTTTAAGCTCCCCGAATGTTTCAAAGAACTGCTCCATCTCCTGTTGCAGAGTGGCGTTCCGTCTGTCAGCATCTGCACGTGCTCGCTCTACATTTCGCATCTTGATCTCGGCCACACTGACCCAGCGTCGCTGCTGCTCCAGAGTTGAGCGGAGCCCTGCAACTTCCCCCTGAAGTACCGTGTTCCTCTGCTCCAGCCTGAAGACAGAGAAGAGAATGGGGTAAACTTACTGTGTTCATGCACACTCATTCATTAATCTAGTGTTTCTCAACCGTGTTCCTGGAGGCACACCAACACGGCACATTTTCAAAATCTGCCTAATCAAATACACCTGATTCAACTCATCAGCTTGTTAGTAGAGACTCAGAGACCTAAAATGGAAGGGTCTGGAGAGATACTTTCCTGAACCATTCAAATCCAACCTTGCTCTTGGAGAGCTACCTTCCTGCACTGTTCAGACCCAACCCTGTTCCAACACACCTACATTTAATTTTTTTTAAGTCATCCCAAACACCTTCATTTTGCTGGTTCCGGTGTGTTTGATAAGGATTACAGCTAAACTCTTCAGGACAGTAGTTCTTTATAGTAGAGTAGAGCAGGGTCTCTGCCTTTGCGTTAATGTAATGACAGTGCCAGAGATTTGCAATTTTCCCTTACAAAACAATTGTGGTACAAAGACAATTGATGATGTGATCTTACCTGTTCAATTTTGCTTCATACTCTGCCTTTTGCCTGGTCATCTGTTGACGAAGCCCTGCAACGAGGCACTGCATGGCATGGGAGGCTGGAAAACCTAAGGGCTCTTGGGGAGCACTTGGCAAAAAGACTTCACTGCTGCCGGTGCTTAAAGGGGCATCTGTGGGAGCAGATGATGAGGCAGGGGAGTTAGGGCGAAGATCGTCTTCACCAGAGTCCATTCTGAATGAGGGGAACTGTACTGGAGAACCATGGCATGGGCTTGCAGCTCCACCGCTGCCACTGCCCCCTTCCAAAGGCGCAATCTCACAGGAGGACCAAGAGCTGCTGCTCTCAGCCATGCTGGCAGTACCTTTGGCCTCCTTGTCTTCTGTATATCGCACCTCAGTAATTATGTTGTCATAGACAGATAAGGTACTATCTTGGACTTCACTGCTGCCTCCACTCTCCCCCAGCGCTCGCTCTGGACTCCAGCTGGGTTCTTCTATGTCAGGCCAGCTCCTTGACTGCACACAAATTTCAACTCCAGCTTCCAGCACTTTGGTCATAGAAGGGCAGGCAGGTGGTGGGGTGGAGGGTGTAGGTACATGTCTTTTATGGAGACATTCTTGTGCTGAGCTGTGTTGACTGTGGTTGTCATAAATCAGAGTAGAGCTGGTTGGTGAAGAGTCATCTTCAATCTGTCTCTCTGTGTCTGATAGATGATGGTTAATGTTTTTCTCACAAGGGCTTTGAAAATACCCTCTCCTCTCTGTGGTTAGTGGTAGAGAGTTTACACGTGGACAGGCTACAGTCTGATCTGGAAGGGTCACGTGATCTTTGCCAAGCAGAGGCTCCCTCAGGTGGGAAGGTGGTTCATGCACCCATTCCACAAGGTTACTGTGTCTTTGTTTTTGGTGGACGGCTTGCAAAGATGTTTCAGGAGGGTTGCAGTTCTCTCTGGAGAAGAGCAAGCTGTGCTCACGGATCAGTTCAGACATTAGATGTTGCACAACTGCTGCCCCTATGTAGGAGAGAGGGACGTTTAAGTGTGTGGTCCACAGCCATGTGGCAAACATCGTCACAAGTATTTGACCTCACAAGCAAATGAGCACATACAGTAACTTAAAGGTGCAGTGTGTGATTTTTAGTGACATCTAGAGGTGAGGTTGCGAATTGCAACCAACAGAAGTTACGGTGGCCGACAGGAAAAGATTTCGTCGTCTGAGACAGCAGAGAGTAGCCAGTTAAGCAATGAGGTTTCTTTACAAATATAAATTAAGAAATTATGTTTCCTTAAATATTCAGTAAAACTGTTATTGCGAATATTATTGTTACTTGTTCATTTTGTCAGTGTTTTATTCTCTGACTTTAGCTTGTTTTTTTGCATGAAGAACAACATAGTGACGGAGTGCATTTGTCCGTTTAGGGCTACTGTAGAAACATGTCGCCGCAAAATGGCTATTTCAATGTAAGGGGAACCGCGGTGTATGTAGATAGAAATGGCTTATTCTAAGTTAATATAAACATACCAGTTCATTATGTAAGTTCTTTATACACCACTGAAAACATAGTTATGTATATGATCATGATTTCTGTCAACAGATCCTCCTAAATATTACACAATGCACCTTAAAGATGTATCTAAATCTCAGAAAAGTCATTAACCCTTTGCCTCAGACCCTTTTTATTGACATCTAAATATTGCTCACCTCCAATGATACTTTCTGGGTCCTCTGCTTTAGGCCGGAGAATATTTGGCCCGAAAACAGTTGCCAAGTTCTGGATACTCATCTTGTTGACATTGGAGTATGATTGGACATCATTTAAGAATCTGGTACAAAGATGTGTCATAGCTGTGTTATCTGACTTGAGCCATGACTAAAGACTAGACAATTCATGGCAAATTAGGTTAAAGCTCCAAATGCCAATATCTAGGTATTGAAAACCAAATCCTTAGATCTTTGGATGAAACTAAATTATCTTACTGGCAGATGTATTTCAGGAGGTTGAAGTTTGCTACAGGCAGCTCATAAAGGAGACTCTTCAAATCTTGCAAACCCTGAAGTTCAGGATGAGATTATAAGAAACAAAATTCTTGTCTGCCCTTAAATGTCCAGAATGTGATCGTATTATCTTGTTTAAATTGATCAAATAGCATCGTGCTCTTCTTTGAAGTGAGTGATATAGTTGACTATACCTTTTCTCTGTCTGAGGGGATTCTTTTGCCACATATAAGAAACTCCTCATAGCGGGAAAATGGCACCAGAGGTTCAGGCAGCTCCCTGAGGTATAGCTTCAGCAAAGATGCCACTGTGTGGACATCTGTGCTGCTGAGAGAGCAAACGTATTCACTACAAGAGTAAATTCACTTACACAAGTATTTGTACAAATTAATTTACTTACTAATATTCACACACACACACACACACGTTAGGTTTCGGTATCTTTGTGGGGACTCTCCATAGACATAATTATTTTTCTAACCCTACCCCTAAACCTAAAACCTGTTGAAAGTAAAATGATGTTTTTTCTTTTCTTTTTTTGAGTTTAGTCTGTAGCAGCAGTGGACAAAACTTGAATCAGCACCATTTTAACTCATAAGTTGAATTAAATTGACCATGTCCAACATGAAGTTAAATTATAATTGTAGGCAGTGCAATTCACTGAATTACAATTAAAAGAAATTATTCAGATAATTGTATTTTGGGAAATAGTGTTTTTTTGCACTTGGCACCATTGCCCATACATTGGAGTACAAATGTCTATAGATGACATTTCATACAGATATGTCTGTCTGTCTCTAAGGCTACGTTCACACTGCAGGCTGAAACGACCCAATTCCGATTTTTTTGCCCCAATGCGACCTGTATCTGATCTTTTCATGACAGTCTGAACGACACAGATCCGATCTTTTCAAATGCGACCCAGGCCACTTGGGTATGTGGTCCAAATCCGATATGTATTCGATCTTTTGAAATGTGACTTCAATCTGAATGGCCAGGTCACATGTATCCGACCCGCACGTCATTGATATGCGACAAACGTCATAATTCTGCGTTGAAGTAGGCGGGAATTGACCGTTGAGTGCTCTTCTGCGCATGCGGGTCACTTCTGGGTCATTTCCGTTCACACAGGAGATCACAAAAGGTCGCATTTAATTGGAAATGTGAACGGCCTTGCAAAAAAATCTACTTTTTTCAAAAAATCGGAATTGAGCATTAAGCCCCTGCAGTGTGAACGCAGCCTAAGGCCTATAAAATTGTCAAAATTCACTTACTTGAACTTACTTATTCAAGATGTACATTATGCTGATTTAAACATTATCTCTGCTGTACCTGTACCGATTAATGTCAATCTCTTACCTGTCAAAAGATGGTTTCTCCCCAGCATCAAAAGCTTCCTGCAGCTCTTTAACCAGCGTAGCCTGGCCCGGCTGCCTGAAGAGTCCCACCTCTGTGAGCCCATGCTCTCGGATAAAATCGACACACTGCTCTACCACCAGAGGAGCCATGTGATCCCCATACCTCCTCTCATACAGGACTGTCTCCTCCAACCTTTGACCAAACACACCTGTGATGATAAAATACAGGTATAGAGTTATCAATGACAGACCCCTTTAGCTTTTCACCTAATTTTGTCAATGGATATGTGCTGAAATAGTGAGAGGACTCGCTATAAATGCAGTTAACCTCAAAAGCGAAAACAAAGATCCTGTTGATGCATCAAACAATAATAATTTTCTGCAAAAATGTGCCTTTAGGATTAATGCACGCTGCTGCTGCACTGCACCAAAATCTACCTCTGTGTGTGATGGTGTGCCCTCTCCCTGCCTAATATTTAATACTCACGTCTTCTGAAGCTCAGCACCCTTTTTATCTTCCTGTAAGCAGAGTGAGACAGATAGCTTCCAGTCCGCTGGATTGTCTGCTTGTTTTCAGGCATCTTTTCTTTTATCCGTCTGTCTTTTTTTTGGGACACACTTCCACTATCCTGACATCAGGAGCAATCCTGAAACTGGCATCGAACGATTGTCTTCAATGAACCTAAATCCCTTTTGCTCATGTTTTACAAACTTGTTTAGTCTAGGACTGGATGTTCCTTTCCCTTTGCTCTTCCTCCTCCCTCTCTCTCGCTCTCCTGTCTGCAGGTAAGGCTTAGTGCACCGAACGAAGAGAGGATCTCTCTCTCTCTCTCTCTCTCTCTCTCTCTCTCTCTCTCTCTCTCTCTCTCTCTCTCTCTCTCTCTCTCTCTCTCTCTCTCTCTCTCTCTCTCTCTCTCTCTCTCTCTCTCTCTCTATCTCTCTCTCTCTCTCTCTCTCTCTCTCTCTCTCTCTCTCTCTCTCTCTCGCTGATGTGCAACAGTGACCCTCCAGCTCAGATATGCATGCTTATCGGATATATCAGCATTCCAAATCAGATGACAGTCCTCATTCTGAAAGAGGAGGCATTGTTCAAGTGCACACCTCTCATTTTCAGCACATTTCTGTACAAAATGTGTTCCTTCAGTTTCAATTCTGAAAGTTCCAAAGTTGAAGGACAGAAGCTTAGCTTTTATCACGTCAAAGTGTTTGTCAAAAACAATTTGGTGTCCTTAGTCCAGGGAAAAAAGAGAAAACCGGTTTAATTTGTCCCAGTTCAATATACGTCCTGAGAGATGGTTATGGAAACACTTCCTCCACACTGTTGTCCATTTAGTGCTCGACCTCTTCTACCGTGACGGTTGCTTCTTGCGAGAGCTCACCGATGTACCACCTGGTGCTTTTCATAAAATGGGTAGAAGTCGGGTATAAAGTAGATATTCCCTTTGACACTGCCTCTGGAAGTGGACGTCTCAGTCATATGCCACTGTTGACAGTGACATCAACAGAGACATGACTGTGTTCGCCTCAGAAGGGGAGGTTATGTTTGTCTGTACTTAATTGTCCAAAGTTTCCAGTGACGTGAGTCAACACCTCCTTGGTTTACTGTTAAATTAAGTCTGCCTTCTTAATTACAAGGGAGGAATTACAAACATTGTTACACTTTCTCTCTCTTGCTGTGTCATTCACTGCTGTTGATTGTTTATACTATCTTTCCCTTACTCTTTCTTTGCCAGTTTTCTGTCTGATTTTTTCCAAACGTCTTGTCTGTATTAAGCTACTCCACCAGAGGGTTACTGGAGTCTGTTTTTCCTTTTTCTGCCCCCTCACCATGAATCATTAACACCACAAAACACAAATTGACTAAAAATAAATGAGCTAGAACTTTCTGCTGGTTACTTTCTGTTATATCTCCCTTTCTGTCTCTCTGTCCCTGTGTACCTCACATGGCCTGCTGCCAAGAAATTTCCATTGGACACAGCTGAACACACCCCTCCAACCCTTTTTATACATTTGTGCCCGGTAACTTGGCCCCTGATGAGATTCCCAGTCTAAAATGGATTCTTAGACATTGGCCCAGTGAGTGTGCAGTGCATGTGAATGTGACTGTGTGTTATCTGGAAGGGCATCTCTCACCTTTTAGGAGCCCCAGAGCTGTGTTGAGTTATGTTGGAGAGGTAATGTAGGGAATTCATTGGGAATGTTAATCTCTCCTGGGAAATAAGCATCAACATGGACTCTGCAGTTCAAGTTTCGCCTTCAGCTCAGATTTGCATGTTTTAACAGGGATAGTATCAGACGTAACAAAATAACGTCTACTGGGTGTTTGGGTTATATTTGATTAAAACAATGTCATTTTATAAATAATATTGCCTAATGCATGCTAGGGCTAGCTCTCTATTCAGTTGACCCTTCACAAGACCCATCCCCCTTAGTTACTGTTGCTACGTCCGACAAGTTTTTGGGATCAGGCCAGTACTACCAGCCATGGCGCTAGACATCAGCCAGACATCATTATACGTTTACATGCACCCTCATAATACCCCATGTAAACACAATACTTTCGATTAAACTTATGTGACTAAGCTTCTAATCATAGTAAACAAGCACAAATAAACTGTGGCGTACCCCTATTTTAATCGCAATAACAGTCATGTAAACACCTTACCGTAATCGCATTATTACCACTCTGACCATCAGTGTTGGGGGTAACGCATTACAAGCAACACAAGTTGCGTAATCTGATTACTTTTTTTCAAGTAACTAGTAAAGTAACACATTACTTTTAAATTTACAACAAAATATCTTAGTTATTTTCTCAAATAAGTATTATTTGAGAAAATAATTAATTAATTATCTTACATTACACAAATATACTTTATGTATTTAATCTCACTTTATTAACCAATGTCTTTGCTGCTGATCTTCGATAATCCAATTCAACCATACGAATAAGCAAAAATGACTTTCGATAAACATCACATTTGTGTTTCTTTTTTATTTGCTGAAGTAAGTGTGTTGAATTTTCTTCAGCAGCAGAGCTGAAAGATAGGTTTGAGCTGCGCCCTCAACTGTACAGGTGTGAATTTGTATTTCCTTCTGCCTGAGGCCCCATCCACACTACTGCGTTTTCGTTTAAAAACGGAGACCTTTTGCTACGTTTGCACCTCCCGTCCAGACTAAAACGGAAAAAACGAAGACCTAAACCGGAGAAGTTTAGAAACGCCGCAGCTCCGTTTTGCGTTTTGAATCTCCGGAGGGCGTTTTAGTGAAGACGGGACAAAACGGAGGACTTTAGAAACGATGACGCAGAGGCTCACGCTCGGCTCCTCCCTGATTCGTCAGCCACCCATCACATGTCAATCCGTTTCCTGTTTACACCGGCACGCGCATGCCCAGTGTTGGTGAATGGTCACGTGATCCGCGTTTTCAGGCGTTTTAATGTGGATGGAGATCAATTCTAATACGCAGATAAAACGCTGGTGTGGACGGAGATCGTATTCGTTTTAATTCTCCGTTTTTAAACGAAAACGCAGCAGTGTGGACGGGGCCTGAGGCTTATTTATTTCACTTTTGGTGTGAAAGGGCCTTTACATTTGCCAAAAATATAACTTTTCTGTTATTAAAAAAAAAACAAGCAAGCCCATCTTAGATGAGGAAACATAACGCAAAGTAACGTATCGTATTACTTTCCATAACAAGTAACCAAGAAATGTAATTAGTTACTTTTTAGGGAGTAACGCAATATTGTAATGCATTACTTTTTAAAAGTAACTTTCCCCAACACTGCTGACCATGTGCTCGGGCCTATATACAGACGCCATGTGTTGTTCTGTGACATTGTTCAGTTTTCCGCTCACTCCAAATCGGTAAACTGTCAACACAACTCGCTGTGCAGTCTCTGCTCTGTATCTTCATGCAGAGACTGCGCAAAGAAAGTGGTGTAGTGTAGGCAAACCCAATTACAGCGGCATTGCAATGTTCATCACGGCGCAAAATAACCTTCCAATACTTCCATAGAAATGTGATTTTCATTTAAACAGTGGCCAGTAACACGCCTATTTATACAGTATCTGAGTTGCTGTGGGGTATGCGAAAAGTGGCAATAAAAATAACCTCCTCATAGCAAATAATCAGAATAATGAAAATTGCATGGTTTGCTTTCATGTAAACATTTTACTGTAAACGTAGTAAGTTCTCACGCAGTGAAAAATACATCACAGAGCAAAGAGGACACTGACAACGTGCCAACAGACAAGATTTATTTGTAAGATTGCGACAGGTTACGTTTGGTATGAAATAGTTTCAGCTTTCAAATTTTGTCGTTAAGAAATTCAAACAATAAATACCGTTTTGTAGCACTTAAATGTGTCATGACAAATCACTGTAGCGCCTCATTTCATGTGGCAAGTGAACTGAGCATCTCTTCCTCTTTACTAGTTATAGCACAAAATAAACACGTATGAACATCAGAAGGTATGTTATTTCAATCGCGGAAAGACATCAATACACATTTTTCGAGTCCACCGACGTTAATCAACTCTACTGCCTGGTCTGTTTGTCAGACAAAATGGTGGATAGCAACATAATATCGGCATTATGATTGGTCAGATTGTCTGTCAATTACAATTCAATTGTATTCATTTTTGATTAATTCAGGTATATTTCAATATAATTTATTAGACGGATATAATCTGCACAAAAAACTTGTGTGTGGATACCAGCTGAAGTAAAATTAAAACTGACAATTGATTTGACGCTTCAGTTATAAAGTGTTCGAGTCTTTTTGTTTGATTTATTAAAAGGGGCATATGTTCGTACATGGGATTACACTGTGGTATGGGTTTCTGATTTACTAAAAAGTACCTGTTTGTGAGACTCATTTGTTCATGAATCAAACCTCATCTGTTTTTGATTCACTAAATTCATAAGACTCATTCATTTTACTGGTCGCATTGTGTTATTGCACGCTGCCTGTAACCTTTTTATCTTACCACATTCAATTTGGACTGTAAACATGATTTCCTTTGCCATAGGGCTGTAGGTTTAGCAGCAGAAGTGCGCCATACTGTAATAGAGTAAAATATTGAGTTTCCCGATTATTTGAATGAAGATCGGGATTTATCCATATTTTTTATCCTACCTTAATGCATACATTTTTTCCTTTATGAAAATATATATTTATAACATATATGTATATTTGTTTTAGTGTCTTGCACTCCCAAAACTGCTTCATTGTATGGGATTGTATGGGTGTGATGGGGGTTGATGGCTCTCATGAGAAAAACAAGGTGTATTGTAACATTATTATTCCCAGGCACACTGCCAAGATGGACACACAGCTGCCGCCCAGAACCCCTCACGCTCTCACTCCAAGTAATGCTGCAAGTAATAGAGGAGGAAAAGACTGATGGATGAAACACTGAGACAAGTTCTTGAGATGGTGCTTGAACTAATGACACTGGCTGAAAAACACTTGCCAACCTTGTTCGTGATGTTTTTTAGACAAAATCATGTGGAAAATTCTCAATATACTGTTTCGAATGACATCAGCTCTAGTGGCATTTGTTTTTCAGCATTTTGTGAGATTTGCGACAAAGCGCAGTCTGTGATGAGACTAGTCATCAGAGTGTGTAATTCATGGCCCATGATTTGGAAATGACTGGAATATGTGTGTGTTGTGTGAGTGTGTTGTTATGTCTATGGCTGGAGCCCTGAAGACTGATTGGATCTGCAGTTTCATCGTATTCAGGCAGTCACACTGAATGTTTTTATCATGACAATGACTCGCACAGCCCTGGATTTTCCAGAGACCACAGAGTGTAGAAGCAAAATTAGTCAAATATCCAGGTCCTAAACTACAGTGTGTGTGTGTGTCTGTGTGTGTGTACCTGTAAAAGGAATCCAAATGCCCTTATTTAGGCTCTTCAGCCACTCCTCCCCCTGACCACAGCTGTTTGACAGGAAGAAATATGAGCCAGGACTAACCAATACGTCCCTGTTTCCTCCTAATTGAGAGACAGGGGAGGGGAGGGGGTACATGGAAAAAGTTAGTTTGTTTCCCACATCATCCAAATACTCAAAAGTCACTTAATTTAGAATTCCAAACAAATTTAGCAACATAATCTTGACATATAGCCTGATGCACACATGCATGCATAACATTTCAGTCCTAATATGTAATGAACAAAGTTGTTATGACAAAGACGTTATTGACTCTTATAGATAAAATGTAAGCAAAGCTCATGGACTGGTCACAAAGGCCACGTACACACTGCTGCCAAATTTGGTTGTCAATCCATCTTTTAGTGCTTAATCTTGTTCTGTACACGCAAAGTTCATTAATGCACGGGAGTAATAACCGCATTTACAAAAATTCTATTCCGCGTCAACCGAACCGACTGAAGTTGTTAATGAGGTATTTAAACACACATCAGAAAATCCAGAAGTAGAGAAATGTTGGAGGGAGTGTGGGAAGGAAGGAGACCAGACACACATATTTTGGGAATGTCCAAAATTTTTGACCCCCTTTCGCCTTCAGAACTGCCTTAATTCTACGTGGCATTGATTCAACAAGGTGCTGAAAGCATTCTTTAGAAATGTTGGCCCATATTGATAGGATAGCATCTTGCAGTTGATGGAGTTTTGTGGGATGCACATCCAGGGCACGAAGCTCCCGTTCCACCACATCCCAAAGATGCTCTATTGGGTTGAGATCTGGTGACTGTGGGGGCCATTTTAGTACAGTGAACTCATTGTCATGTTCAAGAAACCAATTTGAAATGATTCGAGCTTTGTGACATGGTACATTATCCTGCTGGAAGTAGCCATCAGAGGATGTATACATGGTGGCCATAAAGGAATGGACATGGTCAGAAACAATGCTCAGGTAGGCCGTGCCATTTAAACGATGCCCAATTGGCACTAAGGGGCCTAAAGTGTGCCAAGAAAACATCCCCCACACCGTTACACCACCACCACCAGCCTGCACAGTGGTAACAAGGCATGATGGATCCATGTTCTCATTCTGTTTACGCCAAATTCTGACTTTACCATTTGAATGTCTCAACAGAAATCGAGACTCATCAGACCAGGCAACATTTTTCCAGTCTTCAACTGTCCAATTTTGGTGAGCTCTTGCAAATTGTAGCCTTTTTCCTATTTGTAGTGGAGATGAGTGGTACCCGGTGGGGTCTTCTGCTGTTGTAGCCCATCCGCCTCAAGGTTGTGCGTGATGTGGCTTCACAAATGCTTTGCTGCATACCTCTTCAATCAGCTTGAATCAATCGGCCCATTCTCCTCTGACCTCTAGCATCAACAAGGCATTTTCGCCCACAGGACTGCTGCATACTGGATGTTTTTCCCTTTTCACACCATTCTTTGTAAACCCTAGAAATGGTTGAGCGTGAAAATCCCAGTAACTGAGCAGATTGTGAAATACTCAGACCGGCCCGTCTGGCACCAACAACCATGCCACGCTCAAAATTGCTTAAATCACCTTTCTTTCCCATTCTGACATTCAGTTTGGAGTTCAGGAGATTGTCTTGACCAGGACCACACCCCTAAATGCATTGAAGCAACTGCCATTTGATTGGTTGATTAGATAATTGCATTAATGAGAAATTGAACAGGTGTTCCTAATAATCCTTTAGGTGAGTGTGTGTATATATATACATTTCATTTTACTATTGTATAGTGTTTTATGTATTTTCTTTTTCACTTTTTCTATTTCTGTACCTCTTTTATTTGGGCCACCGTTGTTGTCAAGGAATGTTTAGTTCGTTGATGTAATTTGTTAAAATGTATACAAAAAAAATAAAAAAATAATAATAAACACACACATCAGATATGTGGCAGTGAAAGAAAATGACAGGGAAAGAGGTACAAACCTAAACTCATTTGTGTTGCCAGATCTTGCTAGAAAAACACAAACAGAAAACAAGAACAAGCCCATAATAAACCAAAAATAAATTCAAATGGTTTATATGGAAAATAACTCCATAATATTGATTAATGTATGTGCCAAGCCCAAAATGCGTATAATATGTGGACATGGCAACACTAAAGAAACAGGACAAAACATAATGGCTCTGTCAATGGTTTAGTCAAAATTGCAGAACACAACGAGTCTTTGGCCACTGTAATATTAATTTGTTAAAAAATAGTGGCGCCAGAATGTTACAATGGTTACCACGGTGTCAGAAACTTTACAGTGTGCACGACCAAAGACTTACATATATTCATTTTCCTTCTTGCAAATACAATGCGAGTTGGTTTTGATTGTTCCACTGCATGTGAATGGACATGTGCCTCCAGATCTAAGAATGTTCCTCTTGGTTTTGTCAGCAACCAACCCCGACATGATAAATCCACACACTTATAAACTGCCACTGTTTTTTTTTCCATCCTGTGGCTGCTCTATGGGTGCTGGGAAATTGGGATTTGAATTTACGAGGTTTGTTTTTAAGAAGTGGATTTATGTTCTATGTTAAAGGGATAGTTCATCCAAAAATTCTGTCATTAATTACTCACCCTCATGTCGTTCCAAACCCGTAAGACTTTCATTCATCTTCGGAAAACAAATGAAGATCTTTTTGATGAAATCTGAGAGCTGTCTGTCCCTCTGTTGACAGCTACACAACTACCACTTTGACGCTTCAAAAACTTCATAAAGAGATCGTAAAACTAATCCATATGAATTTACTAATACATATGTTTTTTTGTGCTTTAATCCAAGTTTTCTGAAGAGACTCGATCACTTTATATGATGAACAAATTTAATTTAGGCTTTTATTCACATATAAACATTGATCAGCGAACGTATACTGAAGCTCAACCAAACCTGCTTTGAGGCCTGACAAATTTCATTGGTTCTTGCTGAAGCTCAAACATGCTGCGTAACACAAGAATGAACCTCATTGGTTCTTGCAGAAGCTCATTTGTGTTCCGAAGATGAAAGAAGGTCTTACGGGTTTGGAACCACATGAGGGTGAGTAATTAATGACAACATTTTTTTTTAACTATCCCTTTAAAGTGCTTTTAATGATTACAGTAAAAAAAACTTGTTTTCTGAGTGCAGTAAGGCTAATGCTAAGTGATGTGTATTGCTCTTTAAAAATCTCTCTCTGTCCTTAATGGTCACTGTGTCCTTCATGCTTCCATCTGTGAGCTAACTGGAAGACAGCCCAAGATGAATCAGATGACCATTTCTTATCTTTAAGCACCGCAAGAGTTCAACAGGGGAAAGGAGCGCATTGATTTTCATAATTTAATTAAAAACTCTTCCCATTTTTTCAACTTCGTGTATTTCTCAAAGACAATATTAATCACAGGATGGGTCTCAGTCACAATTAAAGTATGCCCCAGATCCCACTCATATTTGCCGGTAGAGTGCAGTAATTAATTCAAGAGGACACTTTCCGTAACAAGACAGAGCTGTAAAAATCCAGCTAAGTGGTTTATCAATACCGAGCGCTCGTCGAATCTGGCCTGAGCAATAATGATATTAAAAGGAGAGCATTGAAATGCCATAAAAGAGCATTTCACAGATTCAGAGCAGTGACCGCCACAGTTAAAGGGTTGGTTCACTCATATCATGTCTTATATGACGCTCTGGTTTTTTTCCATGGATCACAAAGGGAGATGTTCCCATTTTTCTCTTCCAGATGATGAAAGTGAAGAACTTTTACAAGGTCCAGAAATGACCAAAAAAAAGCACCTTAAAAGTACCATAAAAGTAGTGTGCTATATTTCTCGTCCTCTAAACCTGTTCTAAAGACTGTGATTTTATAGCTCTTGAATCTCAAATGGTGGGGACAATTTTCAGTGATTAATAACTTAAAGTTTTGTCTGTTTCTCATGCAAAGCAACCGTATGTCTTTAGAAGACCTGGAATATAGTGCAAACTCCAAAGTTGTATTATATTGTTCTTTTTCGAGTTGAACATTGTCCTTTCTCATTCACTGTGAGCATATGGAAAAGAGCTGCATTAACATTCTGATTGACATCTCCTTTTGTGTTCCACGTAAGGAAAGAAGTAGAGAGTGAGAGTAAATATGAAAGAATTTTCTTTTTGTGTATAATATTCCTTTAACAGGCTCAAAGTAAGTAATTGGAGAGAAATATAAGAAGTAGTTGGTTCACTAACATGATATGTTTAATAGACAGGAATGTTGTAATAAAGAGTGGCAGGGGGTTTGGTACTCTGTTTTGACAACTCAGTAATTGAAAGAATGGTAAGTGCTTCCTTAAGTGGTTATACGGCAGAAAACAACAGCATAGTCTTTCTCTGTGTTTTCATGAATTTGACGGGCATGGTCATGACTTGCCTAATAGTTTGCACTCAAGACTTACACATGGGTTTCTAATGTTTGGCAAAGTTCCTCTTTTATGTATCTAGTGTCAAGTTCCTTTGACTGTTAAACATATTCTTTTGAACTGTAATTTTGATGATACTGCTAGAAAACGCTTTTACATTCAATATTTTAGAATGTATAAACCGAATGTATTTTAAATTTTCTATCTTATGTCAAGTTGAAATGTTTTATATAATAATAATAAAAATGTTATGGATTGTGATATTGACCTTGTGTTTGCCATGTAAATAGCCCTGGTGCTAACATGGCAGCGTTAAAAACAAACGTAATAAACAAACAAATCTAATAGTTTGCATTCTTCTAAGTGGCAGTAAATACAATCACTTGTACCTAGTATATCATGCATCAGGTAAACATAGTAGCAGAGCTGGTCTTCATCCAAAGGTTTTAAACCCAGTATTTAAGGGGGGGGGGGGGGGGGTATCTATCCTTTGTCTCCTTAGTTTCTATGCAAATTACATCGATTCGGAGTCCGTCCCAAACATTCTCAGTCACTTGATTGACTCATCTGAGTCTTTTCAAGCTCATTATTTTAATTATTTTAGTGCCCCTCGCTCACATAAAGCCAAACTGGCTATATACCTGTTGCTTCTTGGCTTTAATGTATTCGTGAGTGAAATCTCGGTCAACACGGCATGGGGTCCGTCCTTCATGTTCTGCTTCCCTTCCAGCACTTGAAATAATCGCCTGACCCAAAAACTCCAATAACATGTCTTTGAGGTTGAGCTGCTAGTTTTAAACATACTGTGAAGTGTGAATATCTTAATTTTGATTGACATATCTCTATCTGATTACATACTAATGTAATGTTGTTGCCAGATCAGCAGGTCATGTCTTATATTAGTGCATGCTATATCTACATCAAGTTCACACTCAGGTCATCACATATGGCTAGCCAGAGAGACTGACACATCAGTGGGAAGTAGTGAAGCACTCGCTCACCTTTCTGTGCAGCACTGTTGTACTTCCAGGACTTAAAGCAGGTGAGTCCCATCCTGCAGGTGGGTGTCTCTTGAGATGCCTCAGCCGAGCTCAGATCCTCTATGGGTGCGCATCATCATCATCAGCGCTGGGGCTCTAGCGGCTCCTGATCGGTGGAGGCTGGCCACGCTGGCGGCATCCCTGAGCGCAGGCTCCCCAGCACTGCCATGGCCTGGACACAAGCCCCATCTGTCTCTCCACCCCTATCTCCCTTCTCATCCATCTCATCAATAAAGCCCCAGCCCTATCCCGTTGGCAGCCGCTTTGCTGGGGGAGATGGAAGGGCGGGGCATGGACCCTCTGCGGCAGACTATTCCGGACACGCATGCATACAAACACACACACACCCACACACACTATCTGGCCTCAGCATCCCTCCAGCAACTATAATTACTTCAGTACAGTATGCCGTCTCAGGCAGCCAGGGCCAATTTCCCTAATGCATCCACCACCCCCCACCCCACCCACCCCCAGACCAGCCCCGCATTTGGTTTAATGGCCATCGATGTGATCGGCCCTCACCCGCACACAATGACTCAAAGAGGTTATAAAGACGTGAGCGGGTGGCCGGCACGTTAAACTTTTGAACCGTCCTCCATTAGACTAAGAGGAGCCGTCGTCTCTCTCATCCTCCCTTCCCCATCTGCCCTCTCTCTCCTTCTCGCTCGCTTTCCTTCTCACTGCAAGCCAGATTTATGATTCTCGGCCTGGCAGGATCTCAGGCATATATTGATCCTGATGAAAGAGGTTCACTTCATTTGGCAAGAGGAATGGGTCTTTTCAGTAGACTTTACACATCCCATCAAGTGTAGGAGTCGGAGCTGTACTGACGTGGCCACTGACTTGTCATGAATTCTCAGACACAGAGAATACACAATCCAGTGATGTACCTTTGGAAATTTTCACTAAATGATTTCTTCAAAATTTAGCTATTTGGTAAGTTTGCCACGTGTACATGTTCTGCAGATGCTATTCAGTGGGCATTGTTTGAAATATGGACCACTGCTAATGCTAGTGCTCTTGGTGTTGTTACAACCTTTGGTCCCATAGAGTGATGGCGTATTTTTGTAGGCCAACCCGGAAGATAGCATCACCCTGGTTCCCTTGACAAAAACACAATAGGATTTTTCCATTGGCTTTTGGATTATTGCAGTAAATAAGCTCTGTTACCAACAAAAGTTCATGATTCTTAAAGGTTTTGTTCATCAAGAAAAACTTCACAAAAGAACACAATTGAATTTTGAAGCCTAAATACAATCACCAGGAGTAAAAATCTAAACGTAGGCTATAAACGAACTACACCACGGTTGTATGACTTCCATTAAGCTTCCAACAACTCTTTCAGTCTTTATTTAAAATCTACAAGTTGGAAAGTTTGAGTTAGAATAGTTTGCAAGAGCGCGATTATGAACACATGGCTGTAAAAGCAGACTAGTAGATGTTTGCAGTGATGGCGTTCAATGTCCCTGACAACCTCTGTAGTCCATTTAGCCAAAAAGATTTTAAAAAAATCACAAGGGGGTATTACTGATGTAATTTGTGCTGTAGAATAAACCATGAAAATATATTGAGCTTTTTTTAACCACAGTTTATTTTAGGCATTTAAGTAAAAACCCATTCAAAAACCCCACTTTGGGAAAGTGCAAAAATGCTATTCCAGGTTTTAGGACTCCTTCCAGCAGCACTCTATTTAGTACCATGAATGAGTCTTGTTAGAAATGACTTTCTGACTGCTGCAAATCTATTGGAATGTGTGAAAGTATTCTGGCACACACATTTTGATTTCGGCCCTCTGGTTTCTCCGCTCTGACCCCTGCTGCACAGTGGCTGGGCAGTTCCAATTATCACTAAGAGCTTTTCGCTCCTCTTTTGTCAATATGCACGATACATGGTTTTGTGCTGAGCAAAGGCTCTTCTGAAAATGAAACTTGTCAGACACACAAGTTACACACTAGGACTCCGTCGCATGCACGCACACAATTCATCTCATGACAGGTTCATCTTTTTACTGGAATTGAAATGGAAGGCAGTAGGAAACTTAAATTGTGAGAATGGAACAGTTTTAATCTACATAGAAGCTTTTGCTTTACTTAAATAATCACTGATAAGATACAAACGTAAATCTGTCAATCACTTCATCTGACACAAGAGAACAAAATGCAACCTGAAACTGTGCTAAATCAGGTAAATCAAGTTATTATAACAAATGTATCTATTTATGTTTTGCATGTAATCTACACATCCTAGATTTCTTAACCCAGTGTCAGGGTTTCTGTCACTTCTGTTTGGTTTATATCTGGTTTGGTGACGGAGCTCTGGCATTCCCGGTTTGTTATGTGTTTGTGTTTAGTCTGGTTTGTTGTGAGCACATGGCTTGTATACACCCATTTGTTTCTGCACTCGAGTCCTCGCATCTTGAATCTACCCATTCCGTGACAGAACGAACCAGCCAACTAAGGACTCAGCAAGCAATAAGTATCTTCCTTTTTCCATCTCCCTGCCCCTCCGCTTATCCGATGGTGGAAAGACTTGACAAGCTCCTTTCGCTTCGGCAAGGGGAAAACAGTGTGAAGGAGCTTGCCTACCAGTTCCTGTATTTTGCGGAGGGGCTCAACATCGGCGACGCAGTACTCAAGGACAGATTCAACACCAGCCTTAATGAGCCTGTGCCTGCCTGGGAGATGGGAATGCTGGGGATACTATCATTCTGCCAGTTTGTGGGGTACGTTTACCATCGCAGATACAGTGCAGACTGGGAGGGTGGTCTTCCGCCTCTTGGCCCTCTTCCCACTGACCTCACAAACCGCCAAGTCCCCGGTCCTCCGATGACCCCTTCGGGGAGTGGAGGAGGAAGAAAGAGTGCGACCCATCAGCCTCCTATTCAGTGGAGGCTGAAGGAGCTGCAGCACCCCCAGAGGCAGTTACTTCCACATCACCTCGCCAGCGCAGGAGGAGGGCTCCTGTCGCTTCCCTTCGGCCGGTGGTCCAGGAGGACCCTACTTCGGCGGTCCCAAGGCCAGTAGTCCAGAAGGACCCGACTTCGGCGGTCCCAAGGCCAGTAGTCCAGAAGGACCCGACTTCGGCGGTCCCAAGGCCAGTAGTCCAGAAGGACCCGACTTCGGCGGTCCCAAGCCCGGTGGTCCAAAAGGACCCGACTTCGGTGGTCCCGAGCCCGGTGGTGCAGAAGGATCCGACTTCGTTGGTCCCAGGTCCGGTTGTCCCAGAGCGGTCCACTCTCCCAGCAGCACCCCCAGTGGTGGCCGAGGAGCCTGTAGCGTCTACTCGTTCACGAAAGCAGAGGAGGAAGAGAGCGTCCGGTCAACCACAGGGCCCGGAGGTTGTTCCGAAGCCTGCAGCCGAACCACCGATGCTTCCAGTAAAGCCTGCAGCCGAACCCCCGACCGAAACCTCCAGTGAAACCTGCAACCGAACCTCCGAAGCCTGCAGCCGAAGCCCCCAGTGAGGCCTGCAGCCGAACCCCTGAAGCCTCCAGTGGTGGCCGAGGAGCCTGTAGCGTCTACTCGTTCACGAAAGCAGAGGAGGAAGAGAGCGTCCGGTCAACCACAGGGCCCGGAGGTTGTTCCGAAGCCTGCAGCCGAACCACCGATGCTTCCAGTAAAGCCTGCAGCCGAACCCCCGACCGAAACCTCCAGTGAAACCTGCAACCGAACCTCCGGAGGTTGTTCCGAAGCCTGCAGCCGAACCACCGATGCTTCCAGTAAAGCCTGCAGCCGAACCCCCGACCGAAACCTCCAGTGAAACCTGCAACCGAACCTCCGAAGCCTGCAGCCGAAGCCCCCAGTGAGGCCTGCAGCCGAACCCCTGAAGCCTCCAGTGAGGCCTGCAGCCGAGCCGCCCAAGCATCTCGCCCTGCCGCCGCCGCCCAAGCGTCTCGCTCTGCCCATGCTACCAGTCAAGCCCGCCGCACAAGAGACTGTTCACGTCACGTCTGCCGAGCCAGAGACTGTTCGCACCAGGTCATCCACGCCAGTGTCTCCGGACAGGATGGCCACCGCCGAACCAGTGTCTCCAGACAAGATGACTGCCGCCGAGCCGGTGTCCCGGGACAGGATGGTCATGCCGGTGTCAGTTCCTGAGCTGGTGTCTGTTCCTGAGCCGGTGTCTGCAACTGTCTGGTTCATCCTGGCCACCTGAACTGCCTGCTCCGCCCTGGTCGCCTGCACAGCCTGCTCCGCCTTGGCCATCTGCACAGCCTGATCCGCCCTGGTCGCCTGCTCCGCCCAGGACTCATGCTTCGCCCTGGACGCCTGTCAAGCCTGCTTCGCCCTGGCCGCCTGCTCAGCCAGCACCACCCTAGCCCTCAGCCAGGACTCCAGACCCGCTTGAGTCTCACCTGGTCTGTCCCACCAGCACCACTCTGGTCCTCAGCCAGGAGTCCAAAACCGCCTGAGTCTCGCCCTGCCGGCGCCGCCCAAGCGCCTCGCCCTGCCGGCGCCGCCCAAGAGGGGGTAGTAATGTCAGGGTTTCTGTCACCTCTGTTTGGTTTATATCTGGTTTGGTGACAGAGCTCTGACATTCCCGGTTTGTCATGTGTTTGTGTTTAGTCTGGTTTGTTGTGAACACATGGCATGTCATGTATTTTATTTGTGCCATGTGCTCTCCTGTCAATTGTCTAGCCCCGCCCATCTTATCTCATTATTGATTAATTTGTCCCACCTGCCTGCCTCGTTACCCTCTTATGTTTGTTTCCCTATTTAGTCTCCCTGTGTTTGCAGTCCTGTGCTGGTTTGTTGTCCAAGCTGTCCATGTTTCTTGTGTTTCCTGATCCTGCCTGTTATTGTTCTCATTTTCCCCCACGAGGGAGTTTTGTTTGTAGTTTGTTTGTTTGTTACTTAATAAATATACCATTTGTTTCTGCACTTGAGTCCTCGCATCTTGAATCTACCCATTCCGTGACACCCAGTTTATTATATTTTCTTTCTTAGAAAACAAAACTGCTTTCTACAGTCTTAAGAATGAAATGACATAACAATGTGCATTTACTTTTAAATTGTAATATGAGTTTAGCATGTAAAGGATAATTTTATATATATGATTTTTAAAGTGTCATTAAAATACTAAATCAACTACTGAATAATAAAAAACTGAAAACAGACATCCAGAAAATAGAAATCCAGTAAGTGATATTCTGATTTATATAGCTTGTACCTTATATGAACATTTAATTGCCAACATCTTAATTTAGGATATGTCATAATAGCAACACTA